AATCTCTATCCTCGGTTTTTCGAGGGTAGCAATCTTATGCCATTTTACTCAGATTTTTGTGCTGAATTCAGCAAAAATAATGTTTATGTTAGAATGTTAGATCTAACCTGTTTTTTCACCTGTTTTCTACCCTCTTGAATTTTCATGATTTCATCGTACATGTTTTGTCAAAACTTCTTCGTAAATGTTTTGTCAAGACTTCTTCGTAAATGTTTTGTCAAACATGAACGTACATGTTTTGTCAAAACTTCTTCGTAAATGTTTTGTCATGACTTCTTCGTACATGCTTTGTCAAGACTTCTTCATCGTAATGAGCGTAAATGTTTTGTCAAGACTTCTTCGTAAATGTTTTGTCAAACTTCTTCGTAAATGTTTTGTCGAAACTTCTTCGTAATGAGCGTAAATCAGACAAAAAATAATGTTTAGGTGAAGAGGTGCGATCTCACCTGTTTTCTCACCTGTTTTTTCACAAGCGTTTTACATGGTAAACGTTATTTTTACATGTATTTTTCAGCAACTTCGTCAAATAATTTTATAGCTTTATCTATCTCATCTACTTCAAACGTTTCTTTACCTTTCGTGGGAGCACCATACATTTTCTCAAACTTTTCAAGTAGTTCTGTTTCAGCAGCTCTCATATCGTTAACGAACACAACCTTGACTATATTGACTGTACTGTCATATCTTTGAGTTATATTATATGTTCTTCCTATCTTATATCTCTTTGTATTGAAGTCCTTCGGTTTCTGAACGATGTAAAGTAAGCCTTCACTGCAACGTTCCGTATCGAATGAACCATATGTTATGAAGTTATATCCAACAACTGGGTCTAACCATAACAAAACTATTGGTATAAGACTTTTGTCTATAAGATATGCTGTAGTTCCATAGAATCTTACCGATATCATAAGCTCAGGATTTCTTGTCAAAATTTTCTGAGTTGAAGCAATTCCAACCCAATGGTGTGTTTTCTTTCCAGATGGAGATATAATGTCTGACAAAGAATATTTGTTGTATTTCTTTGAGTATCTTACGTTTAAATCACCTATTCTAACCACTTTGGTGTCATTGTCTATCTTTTTAACTGTTTCAAACTCAGTGTTTGTCATTTCTGTTCTTACATACAAAATAAAAAAAAATAAAAAAATAAAACTAACTTTATTTTTTCTATCTTGTATAAAAGATATGATTTCAGGGATTTTTTTGACGAAGTGCAAAAGTTCACTTCGTCAAAAAATAACAGTTATATAATGAAATTTGGTCATTTTTTTACGATTTTCATGAGTTTTAGGCGACCAGGTTTTTTCCCTACTCGCAATTTTTTACGATTTTCATGAGTTTTAGGCGAGTAAGATTTTCTATCTTGTATAAAAGACATGATTTCAGGGATTTTTTTGACGAAGTGCAAAAGTTCACTTCGTCAAAAAATAACAGTTATATAATGAAATTTGGTCATTTTTTACGATTTTCATGAGTTTTATGCAAGACCGAAAAAAGTCGGTCTAGAGAAATTTCACTCAAAAGTTCAATAGTGCTTTGGTTTTTGAACCAGTCGTCTGCGTGTTTAGTGTCTGGAGCAAAACATGCTGTCAAAATACTTTGCATTTGGTACATATCGTCTTTGACCGAACGAATGAGACGGAGTTGTTTGTTAAACTGTATGTACTCGTATTCTTCATTTATTTTGTATAAAAGATATGATTTCAGGGATTTTTTTACGAAGTGTCAAAGTTCACTTCGTCAAAAATAACAGTTATATAATGAAATTTGGTCATTTTTTTCAGCAAAAATATATTTTAGGGTAGAAGGTTAGATCTACCCTCCTTTCTACCCTCTTTTCTACCCCAGTTATTTTATAAGCGTTTTACATGGTAAACGTTATTTTTTAAATTTTGTGAAAACTCAACGGTTTGACACATGCCCTAAAAATTATTTTACTCAGAATTTTGGTCATTTTTCAGCAAAAATATAATTTAGGGTAGAAGGTTAGATCTAACCTCTTTTCTAACCTCTTTTCTACCCCAGTTATTTTATAAGCGTTTTACATGGTAAACGTTATGAATTCGTGAGACTCTAAACAGTTTCGTAGCTTCTATTTCTTCTTTTAGTACATCGAATGTTTTAACTATGCCGAAAGTTTCTTTATACTTCTTCTTGACGTCAGATAGAAGGAAATCTTCTGCTGTTGGATAGTTTTTGTTCAGAAATGCTAACATGTCCATTTTATCTTCTGCTGGTTTCTCTGCTTCTTTCTTTAAGTCTGCATAGTCGTTTCTCATTCTTTCTATCTCTTTGACGGAGTAGTTATATTTCCTAATTGCTGCCTTACATTTAGAACATTGCGGGTTCATTTTTGCGTTATATTCTGAAACCTTACCTGCTAAAACAACTAAAGCGTCAATGGTTTTCTTTAACTCAAAAGTTGCTGGTTTTATCTGTTTGTTCCATACCTTACCTCTTCTATCTTTATCTCTTATCTGCCATACACATTCAGCAACTAACGAAACAAAGTTGTCGTAGGTCTTAAATTCTTCAGATTTATATATGTCAGAAACATTCTTATATACCATGTCGCAATCTTTGTCCATAACTTTATGGTTGCAATGAAATCCTAGAAACTCATAGTTTACCTTTCGTATGAACTTCTTTATTTCTACTGAGTCAGTTGCTTTGACTTCTATTTCATCGAATTCAGGAATAGTGAGTTTTTGTTGCTGAATTTCAGGCAATTTGGGTAAATGGTCAATAATGTCCTGCATTTCATAAAGATACTGTTCATTTGTTTCATCTTTCGCACTACAGTCTAAATTACATGTTAAAAGTTCCTGCTTTATCTTCTGGATTTCTGTTTCGAAAGTATATGAAGAAGGAATAAAGCTTTTCATCTCTACTAACATAGATGTTGGATTCATGACTAACGAGTTTGGTGCTGTTGTTGTTTGAAGTGTTGTTGTGCCGATTGTTGAAATCATATCTGTCTTTACATACAAAATAAAAAAAATATTTTATAAAAAACTAACTTTATTTTTATTTCGGGAAAATTCATGAAAATTCATGAAAATTCATGAAAATTCAAGAGGGTAGAAAAGAGGTTAGAAAACAGGTTAGATCTAACCTTCTACCCTAAAATATATTTTTGGGTCCTTTACACTCATTACGATGAAGTCTTGACAAAACATTTACGAAGAAGTCATGAAAATTCAAGAGGTTAGAAAACAGGTTAGAAAACAGGTTAGATCTAACCTTCTACCCTAAAATATATTTTTGGTGTAAATTTCATGATTTTCGAGAGTTTTAGACCATGTTAGAAAACAGGTTAGAAAAGAGGTTAGATCTAACCATCTACCCTAAATTATATTTTTGCTGAATTCAGCAACAAAATGAACGAGGTCAGGATGTATGTAAATACATTTGAATTCATTCATAACACCCTTTGTAAGCTCATAAAATGCTTGTTTTGAGGTCGAGCCACTTTTGGCTCCACCGTATTCTTTCAACCAAAACTCAAGAATTTCCCGCATGAATTTTGTATAAAAAGCAACCGTCTGAATTCCGGCGGTTGCTATATTCTTCACAAAACATTTACGTTTAGTTTACGAAGAAGTCATGACAAATTCATGAGGGTGAGAAAACAGGTGAAAAAAGAGGTTAGATCTCACCTCTTCACCTAAACATTATTTTTGCTGAATTCAGCAACAACTTTCTCTCAATTGGAGCTGTGGCATACTCTTTGCGTAAGCGGTTCAGACCTTCCTCGAAGTCTTGGTCTCTCTTCGATTTGGATTGAGATTGGAATTGCTGGGGCAGGGTTTTGCATAAACATCCAAGGGTTGGGGAAGTAAGGCATAGGCAGAGGAGGGTAGTTCGGGAAGCCTTGTGGTGGGTAGTAACCTTGAGGTGGAAATTGGTAGTAAATCGGAGGTACTTGCTGGAACTGAGGTGCAGGGGCTGGTGCTTTAGGTTCCTCTGGTTTGGGAATGGACTCGGTTGGTGGTACGTCGGACATTGTTCTGAAACAGTACAAATATTGTTCTGAAGCAGTGCAAGTCTTGTTCTGAAAAAGTACAAGTATTGTTCTGAAAAAGTACAAGTATTGTTCTGAAAAAGTACAAGTATTGTTCTGAAACAGAAAATTTTTCTCACAAATTGAGAGCTTTTACGGGAAATTTGTTCTGAAAAAGGACAAGTATTGTTCTGAAAAAGTACAAGTATTGTTCTGAAAAAGTACAAGTATTGTTCTGAAGCAGTGCAAGTCTTGTTCTGAAAAAGTACAAGTATTGTTCTGAAGCAGTGCAAGTATTGTTCTGAAAAAGTACAAGTATTGTTCTGAAGCAGTGCAATGGACAACATCGAGCCATTAGATGAGGCAGTTTACCTAATTTAAATTAACGAGCTTGTTAAGCAGTACTTGCGCAAGGTCATGAAGCCCAAGGTCAAGTTCACCACTATTTCTGGAAGGGCTGCCTTGACTCTCGAGATTTCGACTGGAATTCCAATTCAAATACCAGACGGGACAGCCTACGATGGCATAAAGCAAGCAAAGAAGGAAGCTCTTGTTAAGTTCTTTGCAAAGCGCCCATGGATACTACTTCCAAACAGAGAGAGTCCAATTCCACGAATTATACAAATTCTCAGAGCACTGTTCCACTTCTCTGGTCAACCATTCTACATAACCTGTGAAGGCGACATCCAACCAGTTCAGTAAACCTTAACGTTTAACTTCACTTTTTTATGTTTTTTGTGAAAGTTTTAAAATAAATTGTTTTCATGAGTTTTAGACCATGTTAGAAAAGAGGTTAGAAAAGAGGTTAGATCTAACCTTCTACCCTAAAAGTATTTTTCAATACTTTTTCAGCACTTTTCCGTAGTTATATATGAAAGACAATTCGAGATAAAAGTCATAGTACAATGGAATAATATGTTGCACACCATTTGTTGTGAACCAAACTTGAAAGTCAGAGAAACTGTTACTAGGTGGTTCGTAGAATTTAGAAGCAAAGTCATAAAAGTCCTTACCAATACATAGAAAACTATTGTTGCTTGAACTGAAACTTGCATGACACATAACATTTTGAGGGTCAAACACGTTTCTATAAACTGTCAAATCTGCTGGTGGAAGTATAAATTGAAATGGACCATCTGGTGGTAATGGTTCGTTCTGGTTTAGTAACCGAAGAAATTGTGCCCAAGAACGTTTGTCTACTTTCCAAAATAAAAACTCTGTATCTCTTGGAGGGTTAATTTCAATCTTTTGAAATGAAACGGTGGAGTTCATCTTGTCATATTCTAGTTTCAGATAGTATGTTCCATTTAGTAAAGAGTTGTATTTTTCTTGAAATTCCCAATAATATTTGTTCATTTGAGTTTGAAAGTCATTTAGAGTTTTCTCAAGACTTTCGTCTGAACGAACTGTAAAGATTCTCATTTCGTCAAATTTGTCTATTAGACCATCATGACCTTTATACTGCCCATGAAAATATACTGCGAACATAAACGCGTTAGTTCTATTTGAAAACAAAACTCTTCTAAATCCTATTGCCTTTGCATCTGAAGGACTTTGAAGCCAACGAATTGGATAGTCAAACCTGTATGCTCGGGATGAAATTTCTTCATCTGAAATAGTCCTACCAGCATTTGTAAAGATATAGTCTAACGGTTTTGTATCTGCTACTTTTGTTCTTTGTTTTTCAACCTGAAGCATTTAATATATGTAAAAATATATTGTTTTAAAATGGTATGCCATATAGCTTCTTGAATTTGTTAAGAAGTATTTGAACGTATTTTCCATCTGTATCTCTAGTGTTTACATAAGCATAGCCCGCCTTAGTAAAATATACTTGTAATTTCCTATAGTTTACGCCGGTATAAAAGTAGAAAGAGTCTTGTTCTTCGCTATAGTAGTAAAACTCAAACGTATGCTTGCCATAGTCTGTAATTTCAATTGTTTCATCTTCTAGTTCGTCGACAAATTCGAATACAATATCTCCAAATTTGCCTTTGTTCTTATTGTTTTCAGAACGAGTGACCCAACGTAAGTTTTCAAGTCTATTGTCGTTTCTTATATGGTTTATATGGTCTACAAAAGGTAAATTGTTAGGATTCAGTATAAAATGAGTTGCAATGACAACATGTTTAAGATAGTGTTTTCCACCCATCTTCATAATAGCATATCCGTCATTTCGCTCCCATTCGCTTAAAACTCTTTTTGTCTTTTTGTTTCTGACTTCAAATGACTCACAACAGTGAATTTCATATTTCTCATCTAACAAACAAGTTTCCTTCAACTTGAGGTTCACTAACATCGAAAGGCATGTCCATAAGACGTTCTTCTTCTAACCTCTCTAGTCTGTTTGGATAATTGGCACGTGCTGTTTCCAAATCCATTTCGTAGCGAAGACCAGACAATTTGTCATAGACTTTTATGGGTCTTCCCTTCCTATATTTAAAATTCTTCGAAACTCTCCAACCATATCTTTGCAACTCTGCTTTTATTCTAGCAGATTTTCTATCCATTCTATATGGGGGCATTTTTATAAAAATAAAAAAATATTTTTTCTTTACTTTACATAACCGCCTGCTGCCATAAGTCTTTGACGCCAACCCATACCAGCTAATGAAGGTTGACTTGGTTTAGTTTCCAAACTAAACTTTGGTTTTGGTTTATCTTCAGTTTTTGGTTTTTCTTCTTCTATCGGTTTTTCGTCACTTTTCGGTTTCTCTGACTTTACTTCACTTGCAGGAACAGTTGTGTCGTCAACATCTTCATAAATATCATATGCCATTTGTTTTTGTTTTCCTTTCAACTTTTTGTGTTTGTTGTAAAGTTTAGAATATTTCGACTCTAAGTCAATGAGATGTTCTATAATGAACTGTTGGTCAGTGAAGTAAACTTTTCCATCTGTTGTCTCGAAAGCTCCTTCAGACTTCAATATTTTATTTGTGAGAGTCTGTTTCTTTTTTGAGATACTTGCCGTTCCATTTTTATGAAAAGTGACTTTGTAGTTAGGGTTTGTATTTCCAGACCTGGCACTTTCTATTATTGAATTTTTCTCTTCATCTGTAAGTTCTTTGACAGGTTTTGACAATGGTTCTGAACTTTTTGTTTGTGGTGTCAAATCTACCGTTTCAACTTCTTCAGTCATTTCATCTCAGTAAAAAATTTTAGTTTGGTTTGTTTTCAACTGGTTGTTGTTGTTTTTTAAGTCGGTCTAAAACTTCCTGAGGTATAGGAAGAACTTGACAAACACGTTGTGTAACTGCTGGAAGTCGACAAATCCATATTGAACCCATTTGTCTCAATGCTGTATTGTTCATTTCATCTCAGTAAAAAACTTTACATTCCCCACGTTTGAGGCGGTTGAGGTTGGTTATTGTTTACCCATTGTTGTGCATGGTTATATCCTCTGTTAAAGAATCTTTCACCTTGGTCCATATAGTGTCCTGCTTGGTTATAGTAGTCATTTGCTTTGTTATAATAGTTTCCTGCTTGTCTTCCTACATTGTCCATCCATCCTTGAACTTTTCCTCTTGTTTCAGGATTTGGAATAAGATTTGTTGCATCTCGTGCTACATCCCAACCTTTCTGTACAGTTTGTATAATAGGTTGTGCTTTCTCTTTAAGTATACCTAATGTACTCAAAATCTTCCTTCCAACTCCAAATACACCTCTGGCTATTGTTCCAACTGCGGGCAAAAATCTGGATGCAACTCCTGCTAATGCGCCAAATAAACCCATTTCTTATAGGATAAAAAATGACGAATCCAAACAAGGACCCCTATGTTTCTAAAGCGACAAAGAAAGCACTCATGATAAAAATCTTTAGTTCAACACCAAATGCTTGGTTTATGGATATCTTGGAAAACATTCCGAGGTATAGAGAAGATGGACCTCCATACTGGTTAATATTTGTTGGTCAAAACACAAGATACTGTGAAGCCATACCATTATGGTCCAAAAATATTTTAGATGTGAAAACTGCTTTGACAATATTCGTTGACAAATACCATCCAACAAAACTGACATCTGACTTTGAAAGTTCTTTCAAATCAGATGATGTAAAAAACTATCTGCGTTCAAAAAATGTAAACCAATATTTCATTGTCGACCAAAACCATTCTGCTCTTGGTGTCATTGACGGTTGTATAAAAATGTTAAGAGACTTAAACCAACCACAAGGTGGTGAAGCAAATGAAATGTCATATGACGACAAATATAGACACTTCTCCATGGCAAAGATGAGACAAGTTTTAAATATTTACAATAGCCGTAAACAAAAAGGTTTGGGAAACCACTCCCCCGAAGAAATGAAAAACAACCCTGACTTAGAGAAAGACTATATATTTAATAATTTAGTCAAAAGAGACAAACAAGAAAGAATGCCGGGCTTCAAACTTCAGAAAGGTGATAAAGTAAAAATAGAAATACCTAAACGCGACCCATATGAAAATACTATTGACTATGACAACAATGGGAACTCGACAGGTACTCACATTCGTGTTCGTAAAAATAGAAGAAAGTATACAAGAGAATATTATGAAGTTTTAGGCAAACATGGCAAAATGTACAGACTGCAAGCAGAAGATAAAACTACTATTGTCAGACCTCGTTTCAAACTTGTCAAAGTTCAAGGTGGTATACTTTCAAAAACAGTTCCTAACAAATATAAGACAACTCCTGACGAATATGCTAAAGAAGTTGAAAATGACGACTAAGCATTTCTATACCATGCGTAAACTGTCATGTAAGGTGGCATGTATTCTTTACTTTGTCCCGTTGTTTGCGTATATCCTGAAACGCGATGTGTATGGTTTCCATCTCCCTGAGTGTTACCCCAGAAACAATTTATAGCAAACTGAACGTTGTCTTTAACATCATATCCTTTACCTTTTGTCATTGCTGACCAATCCCAAAATTTATGCTTATGCCAACCTGCTTGAGATGTACTTAAATCTATGTAGTGACTATGTGCAGGTAAATTTTCACCTGAAATCGTTTTACTTCCACCTGTTTCCTTTGAAGAGTTTGCACAATACAAAAACCTGTCGACTATTTGAGTCCAAGTTCCAAAACCAAGTACTACTTCTGTCTGGTAGAGTTCATTGACGTATAAATAGAGCCTATAGGATATAATGTTTGAAGTATTTCTGTCTTTAATGTTTGAAGCTCTGTTTTGTCTGCTTTCTTGTCATATAAATCTTGAGCAGTGAATTTAATATTATGTTCATCCTTCATGACATAAACATCTTTACATCTAATGTTTCTCATCGTCGTTATGTCGTCATCCGATGTTAAACCTTGTGGAAGTTAGGAGGTTTACAATATATTGCATCCCCACCAGTTTCTTCAACCGTTCCTTCAATACTTTCTATAGCAACAGTTGTAAAACTTGTATGTGTATGGTTCTTGTCTGCTTTCTTCTCTAAACTCATCGTTAACATAAGTTTTATCTGCTTTAAGGTCTAAACATCCTGAAACCCATCCTGTATCGCTTTAACTTTAAAAGTCTTCGATGTCCATTCATGGTACCAGTCAACCCTTTCTTTCATTTCGTTATCTTTTCATCCACATATTCCTTATCTGCTTTCTTCTCTAACTTACTAGCCACATATTCCTTATCCGCTTTCTTTTCAAGGCTAACGTTTAAGTCTGTTATTTCAGATATAGAAGTGTATGAGTCTTTTTAGAATATTCGTTTTCAGCTCTCGTCACTTCACTTGACATTTTATTGTCAACATATGTTTTGTCTGCTAGTTCAGGATGAGTATGTTCTTTTGTTGCATAAGCATTGTTAGCTCTTTCTTCTTCTTTTGCTATTGCATCGTCTACATATTCTTTGTCAGCTTTGTTGTCAACATCTGTTTTCAAAAGAAGTTCATTTATAGGTTTCTCGTTTAAAGTTCCTTTTGTTGGATTTATACAGACAGTATGGTTCTTATTGTCTTGAAACAGAAACTCATCTGTCATTGGGTTTAATGTCAGTTTTAAGTTTCCTTCTTTCAATGACTCAGATATCTTAGAATAGTTTGAAAAGTTTGTTGTGTTCTTATTTAGAGCTTGCATAATGAGTTGTCGGTTGTTGTATTTCTCGCATAGACGCTGTTTCATTTGACATTTTATTCTAGATAAAATATGCTTCCAATAGAAAAAGAAAATTCAAGAGTTGCTACAACTAAACCATTAGATGAACTTTTTACTAATGTCGGTCAAAAGTTTGAGACAGAGACCGTAAAGCATGAAGGCTATCGTTTTGACTACCCATTAAGATGGTTAAGAGACCCATCCGTCACAAAAGCTATTGGCTTTCGTAGAATGAAGTTCATTTCAGAAGCCATACATGGTTTCCCATTTACGGTCGGTTTTGAAGTTCGATACTATAACAAAGAAAAACGTATGTATGAGAAATTTGAACAGGGAAAACTTTTACAAGTTAGTTTGCTTGTAAACTTAGAAACAACTCTTCAAGCTTTTCAAGAAAAAATAAACAATATCTATATCGAATATGCAAACCAGTATAACATTGACGAGGGAGAATACCATCTCGATATTATTTATGACAGGAAAAATGCAACTGTTAAAATCAATAGAATAGAAGACCTTGGAGAAAACGTTTATATTTCTACAAAATATAACAACTTGGCATGGTATAGATTTATGAGGATGTTAAATCAGCCTGCAGCATATCCAGTACACCCAGACTTTTATGAAGTCGAAAACCCTAATGGAACATATGAAAATGTTTTCGACCAAGATGCTATTATTGTTCATGCTTCATTTTCTGGCGCCCAAAACTCTTTCTTATGCTTGGCAAATGACTTTTACGAAAAACCTACAAAGTTATACGAACCACCAAGTGGAAGTATTTCAGACTTTCAAGTATGGTTTACTACAGATGGAAGAAAAAGAATAATTCCATTATACCATGCGTTTTACTTAGAACTTAGTTTCATATACAACTACTATCGAACGGTAAAAATATAATTTTTTAATACGGTTGAGGTGTTGGATTTGGTTGCCAACTAGACTGTGGTGCAGGTTCAGGCTGTTGTATAACAGGAGCTTGTTCTTCTGGTTCAGGGTCTTTAGGTATAATACCAACGAACTGACCTACTCTTTTACCAATATTTTGACTCCGTTCCAAATTCCTCTTCCGACAGATTTTATTCCATTCCATATACCTCTTCCAACATTTCGAAAGAAGTTTCCTATCTTACTGAAGAAACCCTTTACTATATGTAAAAATCTAATGTCCGCCTAGTCTCTTACGTTTCCTGTTGAGTTCCATAGCATTCTTTAACTGGAGCTCATACATTCTGTTTCTCCTCTGGTAGAAAACATATTCTGGGTCAACTCCTGTGTTCGCGTCATCTGCATAAAGTTGTTTATATCCCACTTCAGGGTTTGTATAAAACTCTTTCCATCTCATATTTGCATACCATGGTGGCAAACCTAACGCAGCGTCATTTGACATGGCAGTTTGCATTTGTACATCTGTTGGCACTTGACCATAGTTTGCCATTGCAGTTTGTATTCTAACTTCATTTGGAATATTCTCTGGGTTTGGTTGTCCAGGTTGCTGTGCATTCGCTAAGTTCTGTGCGTCCATTTAATATTAGATAAAAATATCTTACGAGTACATATACTGAACATTTGCAGGCATTGGTTCATCTTCATATTCTCTATATCTTTCTGCCACGTCAAAGAAATAAATGACACAATGGAAAAAACCTAAAACAAGTAGTCCTATTTCAAACCACATTTACTTACTAATAAAATTTCGTTATTGTGACACTTTCTCCGGTTTATAGGACCTCTCTCATATTCTATCTTGTCATATATAAACTCATAGTCATGTATGTCCTCTAACCATCTCATAACGGTTTCCAAACCACTTTTATCGGATGTAAAGTAAAAGCATGGATGGTTATGTAAAACGTCTAAAGTTTCTAAAGAGTCTCTCAAAGTCCAGTCTACTTGGTATTGAAAATCCCATGTGTTATAGAACGGCGGGTCCACTATAAAGAAAACATTTTCCTTGTCTTTATATTTTTCATACAACTCTGTCCAATGACATCTCACAAACTCTATACCCTCAATATATTTTTCTATGTCCTCTTTGAAAACATTTGTATAGTTAAGATATAAAACTTTTGACATAAGTGTTTCAATGTCATGAACTCTTATAGCACCACTATATAATAGTCTAGCAGATATACTATCCCAGTCTATATATTCTGCTTTTTTCAAAACCTCTCTCACAATATTTTTCTTATCTAATGGTATACGTTCCATCTTACCTATAGGTATCTTTTCTTTTAACTCTTTCAATATATTGTTTGTGTCTGGTATATGTTTGAGACGGTCCATATAGTTGTCGAAGTCATTGCATATAATCTTTGAGTCTGGGAATATTGTATGGCACAAATGAGATATATAGAAACTTCCACCGAACAAATCTACAAATGTTAGACCATTCGGTAGTTTCTTAAGTTCTCTCAATATAATATCTTTACATTTACTCTTATTTCCAAAGAACGGTAACGGAGGTTTTGTAAAATTCATTTATATATAATAATAAAAATGTTTTTACCCGAAAAGTGACAGAAAAGTGACAAAACATGAAAACATATATAATTTGTGAAAAGTGAAACATTATATAATGTTTTCGACCCAGAAGACTAACAATTTTCCGAATAAAAACTTCATTTATACTAAACATCTTCAGGGCTAGAGGGCACGAAGTGCCTGGAGGCCCCACTACCTTTTTTTTTTTTTTTTTTAATTTATTTTGTAAATTTTCCAAAAGCCTTAGTACCAATGTTGTAATAAACAGAAATTCGTCAAAAGTGACAGCTCTCAATTTTTTGACATTTGTAAATTCTAAATTGAATGAGAAAAATGAAATAATACTAAGCATAATACAATATTCTAGATTTAATTATAATTAGGAAAAAGTTAGTTTTGAGAGTACTTTTCATAGGCATATAGAATGAAATCTTCTGAAAAATAATATCACATAAACTCATATTATTTTCTAATATATAACTATTTTATATAAAAATCAAATTCAATGATCTTAAAAGCGAAGGATAAACCTTAAAATTTACGAATATAATGAGTGGGAATATAATGCTTATCTATCATAAAACCATATGAAATATCAATTTTTGCTTTACGCCTAATTTTTGACGACAATTAGCAAAAAATGTTAAATGTTAACACTCAGTCCATTTGAATATGAAAAATAAAATTGACTTTGATTAAATGTTTTTATTTATCATGCAATTCTTCTTGCGACCAAAGATTTGAATAAAATTTCAAAAAATAAGATAGCTTAAAAAATAATGTACGGTAGTGTTTACTAATAGATGAATAGTATATAAATTCTATTAAAATGGATTTGATCCAAAAAAATATAAAACCAAAAATAATTGTTATAATTGAAATGAAGAAGTAATTTAAAACGATTTTATTGATCAAATTTTATATATTTTTTTGGATCAAATCCATTTTAATAGAATTTATATACTATTCATCTATTAGTAAACACTACCGTACATTATTTTTTAAGCTATCTTATTTTTTGAAATTTTATTCAAATCTTTGGTCGCAAGAAGAATTGCATGATAAATAAAAACATTTAATCAAAGTCAATTTTATTTTTCATATTCAAATGGACTGAGTGTTAACATTTAACATTTTTTGCTAATTGTCGTCAAAAATTAGGCGTAAAGCAAAAATTGATATTTCATATGGTTTTATGATAGATAAGCATTATATTCCCACTCATTATATTCGTAAATTTTGAGGTTTATCCTTCGCTTTTAAGATCATTGAATTTGATTTTTATATAAAATAGTTATATATTAGAAAATAATATGAGTTTATGTGATATTATTTTTCAGAAGATTTCATTCTATATGCCTATGAAAAGTACTCTCAAAACTAACTTTTTCCTAATTATAATTAAATCTAGAATATTGTATTATGGTTAGTATTATTTCATTTTTCTCATTCAATTTAGAATTTACAAATGTCAAAAAATTGAGAGCTGTCACTTTTGACGAATTTCTGTTTATTACAGCTAATGTTTTTCTCATTAATAAGGCGCTGTTAGCCTCTATCCATAGCCGAAGTGATATTAACGTATGTTAACGTACAAAGTAAAAACATGTTTTTTCTTTTTAAAATCATTTAGTAATTAATAATATTTAGCACTCATAGTAAAAACATTAAAATTTATAAGAATCGTTATGAAGAAAAATTGAGAACTTATGATTTTTATTTAAGAAAATGATTAAATAATATATAAATAACCATATAAACAACATTTTAGATTCCTCTGAAAAGGGTATCTCAAATTGGTCTATGACCAATTGAATGGTTCGCCGGTTATTCAAGGTACGGTATCTTAGGTAATGCAATTCTTGCTTTCAAAATTTGTGAAAGAAATATTAATAATATTACAGTCATACTAAATAAATCGAGACAAATTCATGAGTTATTGGATTGAGGTTACGGATTCAAATTATTTGATTACCGATATACCTGTATTATTTGGAGTAATTTAATATAAAGGAATTACTTTCAGAGATTGTTAGTTCAGAATTTTCAATGGTTTATTTTTTTGAGAAAATGATTTTTTTTCGGATATTTATATAGCTGATGTCATGTTACATGAAATTATTATTCGGTTGTAAGAAATTTCTAAGTCCCATCGCCACGCGTATTGAACTTTTTCTTTTACACATTGAATATTTCAATAATACCAAAAACATTGTAAATTTCATATCTGGCACATGTGTTATATTATTAAAAACAAGATATATTTTTTTTTTCTTGAAAATCTTTATTATCGTTTTCCATTTCAATGGAAGAGCAGATATTACCGCCCAATCAGCAAATCGGTGATTATTTATTGCAAGAGAAAGTTGGTCACGGTGGCTTTTCCAATGTTTATATGGGAATACATCTTCCAACTCAAACCGTATGTGCAATTAAAGTTATTACAAAGGATAAACTTCCCCGCGAAATATATGAAAGAGAAGTCAAACTGATGAAGATGCTTGATCATCCATTTTGTTTAACTTTCTATGAATCTTTAGAAGATGAAAATAATTATTACATGGCAATGGAGAACGTAGAAAACGGAACGGTTTTGACAGAAATTAACAAAACATTCGGCCTTCCCGAATGGAAAGCTAGACACGTCTTTTGCCAACTAATTTGCACGCTTGACTATTTACATAATGAACTTCATATCGCACATCGTGATCTTAAGGCGGAAAACATCATGTTTGATCGTAATAATAATATTAGGTTGATCGACTTCGGCCTAGGAAATACTTTTACAGAAGAAGCCATGTTAAAGACAGCCTGTGGCTCACCAGCTTACGCACCACCAGAAATGCTTTGCGGAAAACCATACAATGATTCTGCAGACTTATGGAGTGCTGGTGTCGTTCTTTTTGCGATGGTCATTGGAAGATTACCATTCCAAGACAATTCTATCCAAAGATTAGCGCAAAAGATTGTATATTCTCAACCACAGTATTCTCCAAATGCTTCTCTTGAAGTTCAAGACCTTCTTTCGAAACTTCTTGAAAAAGATCCAGCGAAAAGAATAACGATACCAGAAATCTACGAGCATCCATGGTTTAAGAAATATCCTGATGCTGAAGTCATGAGAGGCGATTTCGGTTTGATGAATGGATGGAGAAATCCACCGAACACACAAATTGTTCCAAACCCATTTGTATATAGCAAAATGCAGTCGATGGGAATTCCTTTAGAGGGTCTAGATAGTTTGATTGTATCAAATGTCTTTAACAGAGCAATGTCCGCATATCGTATTATTCGTCGTGAATTAGTTACGGATGCAATGAGCGGATATTTCGAGCGCGCAAATCCAGAAGGCTTCAAGCACGTCCCATTAACTCTTCAAATTCCTCATCCTTCATCTGTCATACGTCGTAGACCAACAATATACTCTCCAATGTCTCCTGGAGCTCCAGTACATAAAAATCCACTCTCCGTTGCAAGAACTCACCGTCGTCGTACAGTATCTAACGCAGATGTCATGGTTAAAGATCCGAATTTCCAGGCACTGCGTGCACAATATGCTCAGGCTACTGGTTCTGACGATTTTAATGGACAAGTTCCTCACGAACAGCAACAACAAAATGAGGAAGCTCAATTGCCTTCCTTATGCAGACTAATGAGTGGAGTTAGAAGAGCTAGAGTTGGATCAATGTTATAATACAGTTATGTGTGTTGATTTTTTTACTTTTTTTTAAATAAATGTATATTAATCCATTTAATCTTAAAATATATTCATGACAATATTACAAATATGCAATACTCAGATGGTTTTAAAGGAATTTCAAATTTATAACTTTCGTTTTAAGAGTTATGGTTGAGGAAATTATTCCTTTTAAAGGGTTTGAATGCTTAAGTAATATTACTTTTGTTACCTGGTCTTATATAATAAGGCTCTATTATTGAAAACCTTAAACGAACACTCAATATCCGAAATACAGGGTAATTTGAAAGCAAATTGTTCGGATGTATTATCGTTGGTACATAGTGTACTCTTTAATTGTTATTCAATAAACAAAGTTTAATTGGGAGTATGTATAATGGCAATGATTGAAGTTGCAAAAACAAAAAAGTGACTATTCTTTAACTTCAAAATCTTGTAAACAATTTTAATTTCTTATGTTCTTTATCATCTGATTTGAATTTAGTTTATTGAACTGTATCCAAGAAGGGCAACTACTCCAACATGACGTTTCCCACTCCTGTCGTCATAAGTTTTATCTGCTCTCCTTATTTGATTGCTGTTTTCATTAGTAGAACAATAATTTGTAACTGGGATATCAAAACCTGGAGGTGTAGCAAGGCAATACCCTCTACATTCATTGTCCCAATACTGATTTCCTCTAGCAACAAGTCCAACACAGTAATATGTTGCTGCTACAGTAATTGAACCATCAATGTAAAATGCATTATAGTGATAATAATCCTGTAAATAACATTCTGCAAAACTGGCATCACTATTTTGGGTTGAAAACATATATTTATCGCGTCCATGGTATGAACATTCGTTGTTTGATAATATAAATTCTCGAAAATTAGCTGAATTTTCTATAATGCTTGGAAATTCATCAATAGTATTTTGGATAAAAAGTGTATAGCCGTAATATACACTATGACTGCCTAGAATTTTGAATAAGCCAGATGATTTGCATTTATTATTTGTGAAATTAAAATAATTTAAGAAAACTGAACCTTTTTGTAACGTAAATGTTGTTTTACTATCAACTGTTTGGTCTGCATTCTGGAACATGCTGGAATATGTAATATAGTTTTTGCATTGATCTGAATCTTCGCATTCAAAATAAACTGCAGTCCCATCTTTATTCGTTCCGAATAAGTTAGAATTTAACATGCAGCTTTTAGAAAATATTATACTATTACCGTTGAAGAAAATGGAACCTCCTTGGTTGTTGTCAGATGATGAACAATCAGCTATTGTCGTCGTTTCAATTAATAGACGAGGCTCACCTCGGTATGATATGTATACAGATCGATTTTTTAATTCTGAAAATATTGACAAAGAAATATAGTAATTTTGTCCATCATCTTTCGAAAAGAATGTAGTTCTATTCTTAAAATGCCGATAATAGTCTTCACCCTGGAAATGTTCATCCCATTCACAATTTAATCTGAAAATAAGAAAGGTATTCTTTAAGAAATTCATGAATTTAACGTTCCGATTTTTTAAAAGAAATTTGCCAATATTTTTATTTAAAAAAATTACAAGAAATTATTGATATATTCACATAATCAGCTCAAATTTATTTTATGAAATAAACTTACAAAATATAAAAATTCTGAAATAATTTCCAATGTGAAAGGCAAGAGTTGGTAATAAAGAAAAATATGCCAAGTTTTTGCAATAAAAATTTTATGAATAGTTTACATAGCACAATATTTTATTGGAAATTTTATGATATTTGTAAACTACTCATAATGTATGTATCTTTTTTCATCATTCTCTCAAAATTGAATAAAAATATTTTCACTGAGATTTTTGCGTCGCCAACGTATGAAAAAAATTGAGAGACTATCATTTTCTTCCACTACCAGCTAAAGTTTCTGACATCCATTCCTATGGTTACTGATTGCTTCCTTTCTGTATGCAATGCCAGAAATGTAAGAAGTTATTGGTTTAACCTAATTTATTACTCCAATATTGTCTAGTTTCCGATTTTTTAAACATTCTCTCATAAATTCTGGAATTCTTCATAAAAATGAAAATTTTGGACATACTTTCATTTTAACATATTAAGCTTCTTTGGAATTCATTAAGAGAAACATGTCTAACAATGAATTTTGATTACAGTCATAGATATCAAATTACATAATAACAATATAAAAGTCGAACGCTATAAGATTTTTACCCAAAAACTTATTTATATATATTAATTTTTTGTTTATGTAAGGGCTCCTCAGAATCTCTCAAGATAGAATTGGGCACCAAAGGTACATTAGATCAATATGATCCTTAGCAACTTGAAAGGAAAGTTTGATAATTGGAAAATGATAAGAGGTATAATGAGACTATCGTAGTGACATTCATTAATTTCTATGTATTTAATAGCATATATTGCTCGTATTCCGCTATTTTAAGTTAATTTGCTTGCAATTGACTTTGTCACAGACTACCAAATACTTGGAATTAGAAATATGATATAACTAAATGCATATTACGATTTTCCATATATAATTGCGTTAAAAAGCCAACTTTTTTTCATGGCGGATTTAATGTCAAAATGTTAATTGTGTATCAAAAACTATGCAATTATGTGCCTCATCATGTGTATATTAATATTTTGTAGTTTGTTTTGATTTCATTGCTGTCATTTTATTGTAAGTCGCTTTTCAGAACCACAATTATGTTTTCCTTCTTTGCTTTACGTGCTATTGCCGCAAATGGTAACACCATTTCATACGATCAGGCAACACAAACCCTATCTATTACAGCAGATTCTGCTTACACAAGACAGGATATCGATTCAAAGATTGGTACAAATCCTGTTAAGACAATCAAAATCGATGGCAGCTACAACGAGATTCCAGAGGGTGTCTTCGCATTTTTAGATGTCGAATCCGTTGTCATTTCTAACACAATTAAGAAGATTAATGATATGGCTTTCTATGGCTGCAAGAAGCTTACAGGTTTCTCCGCTCCAAATGGATGCGAGTTTATTGGTAGCGAATGCTTCAGAGACTGTGCTTCATTACAGGCTTTCTACTACAGAAAGTGCACAATGACATTCCTCGCCAACGTCTTCCAGGGATGCACAAACCTCGAGGTCTTCGGCCAAGTTAATGGTGACCAGTCATCCCCAGTTGCTGGCGTCCAGAGAACATTCGGCCCAGGTGTCTTCAAAGATCTTACTGCCTTAAAGACAGTTACACTTCTTGATGACACAGCAGTTCTTGGCAAGAGCATGTTCGAGAACACAGTTTGCGACATCAAGATTCCATCTGGTGTCACAAGAATCCCAGATTCCTGCTTCAAGAACTCCAAGATCACACAGGCTGATCTCTCCAACGTTATCCTTGTCGGAATGCGTGCATTCTACAAATGCATGAGCCTTACATCCGTCAAGTTCAACAAGGACAAGATCCGCTTAATCCAGGCTTACGCATTCCAGCACTGCTGCAACGCCGTCCTTACAGGCCTTGATGATTGTCTACCTCTTCGAAATGTATGCATTCTCATGCATCCAGACAATCAAGACATTCACAATGCCAATCAACATCTACTCTGTTCCAGCCGGTGCTTTCTATGACTGCCACAACTTAGAGAAGGTCGTCTACAACTCTCATATCTTCCAGATCTGGGAGAAGGCCTTCATGAACACAAAGATCTCTGAAGCTCTCATTCCATTTCGCACTGAGTGGGTTGCCCCAGGTGGTTTCGCTGGTCTTTCAGGATGCAAGACATTCGTCATCGAAGAAGACAACCAAAAGCTTACAACAGACTTAGATGGCAAGCTCCTTGTCAAGCCAGACAAGCTTACAGTTATCTCCTACCTTGCCGGCAATGATCCAGAAACAGTCACAATCGGTGAGTCATACATGCTCATCAGATCATACTCCTTCGCTGGCTCTAAGGTCACAGGCTTCAAGGTAAAGAGTGGTACAATCTCTGTTTGCGAGCACGCCTTCGCTCAGTGCCCTAACCTTGTCAACATCGAAATTCCAGACTTCCTTACATTCACAACAAAGGGCCTCTTCCAGGACTGCGAGAACCTTGAGTCCGTCACATTCAGAAGTGTCACAACAATCATGAATTATACATTTGCTGGCTGCAAGAAGCTCAAGACACTCAACGTTCCAAACCTTCAGACAGTTGAGGACCATGCCTTCGACGGCTGCACATCCCTTGATGGCGACTTCACAGGATTCAAGTCATTGACTTCCATTGAAGCCTTCGCATTCAATGGCTGCGCCTTCAGCACACTTAAGATCCCAGCTTCTGTTACATACATCGAACACCATGCTTTCGCTAACAACCTTCAGCTTAAGGCTGCTTTCTTCAACGGTGCTTCCACAAAGTTTGACTCATTCCTCTTCCGTGGTGATGATAACCTCTTAAAGGTTGTTTTCTATGACAACATCGCCGAAATCGAAGCTGATACATTCGATGGCACAAAGCAGCTTGGCACAATCATCTACTGTGGCAAGAACGCTCCACAGCCAGCTGATGTCAAGATTGTCCACACACCAGCTCTCTATGTCTTCACAACAAACGAGTACTCCGGAAACACATGGGCTGGCATCAACATTTACAAGAAGATGCCACAGTGTGAAATCGCTCCATTCACACCAACACCAGTCCCACCAACACAACCACCAACAAAGCTACCAACACTCCCACCAACACAGGGACCAACACCACTTACACCAACAGCTGCTCCAGGACCAGACAACTCCAAGACAAAGAAGATCATCATTGGTTCAGTAGTCGGTGGCCTTGGTATTGTTGTTGTCGCTGTCCTCGTTTTCTTCTTGTTCTGCAGAAGATCAGGAAAGGCCGAAGTCATGAACAGCACACCACTCCTTTCCAACAACTAACTTCCTTCAATAGTCGAATAAAATTAGTAGAATTTTATTCTATTTTAATTATCTTCAATTTTATATCTTTTATATGATAACTGAAATCATAATCAATTAGAATCTGAAGTCTAGAACTCAAATTCAGAAAATTATATTTTAATATTTAATATAGAGAAGAAGAAAATAGTAATAAAAATAAATATAATGATTTATTGGAAGAACATAATGTAGATAGCTCTATTATTTTAGAATATAATTATTTTTCTGCTTTTCCAGCTTGGTTAATATGTCTCTGGAGTGTAGCAGTATTCATTCTGTTGAACTGGCTCCAGAATCTACGTCTGTATTGACGGCCAAAGCCGTAGAAGAACAAAATGCAAATAGCTGGAGTTAATTTAGTAAGAAGTTGCAATTTTGTAAGCTCTTTCTCTGGTGTGATACGCATTAAAACTGATTTATCTGTGTTGGCGAATGTGAATGTTAATAAAGAAGGAGTATCATAAGATATTGTTCCTGTCAAAGTAGAATTGCCTGGTTTAGCACCACGAATAAGGAGTGAGTGGCTGTCTACTTCTTTGTAGTCAATTTCAAACAATGTTGAGTTATCATTATCAATAACCGAAAATATATTTGGTTCTGGTGTTTCAATACGAAGGAACATACCAAAAACTGGATGTTGTGGTTCGAATTGGATGTATTTTGTCTCGTTTCCACGGAATTGATTGATAAATATTTTTGAACGGAATAAATCAGAGTTAATATCAAAAGCACTCTGACCAAAAATGGATAATATGTGATATGTTTTGAAATATGAATCGAACTTCATTGATTCAATCGAAGTTGCAAAAGATAAGAGGATTGAAAGCATAAATTTTGAACGATAGATAATAGATGCGATACTTAGGATCAACCTAAATTTAAAGTAAATTTAAGTATAAAATAGTAAAACATGACGATTTTCAGCAATAATATAAGGAAAATAATCATAATTAAAGATAAATTTTCTCAAATATCTTAAAATCAATATCATGGTGTTGATTTTTAGCTTTACTTTGCAGAAATATTTATTATATTTAACAGACAATGTATGATTTATTATAAATTAATTGTTCATGAAATATCAATCTATGAATTTACTCTCTCAATTTCTCATTCTCAAAGTTTTAGTGTAAAAAGCATGATGAAGCATTATATTCATGATTCTTATTAAATGAAATACATTTTGATTGAAAAAATGAATTTAGAGTATATAAATACTAACATTTAGGATACATTCAAGTGATAAAGCAAAAAATTAAGTAATATAGCTTGTTATCATATAATTATTTTTTCTTTTGATATAAGAAATCATCTCGAAGGATTTCGTCAGCAGTAGGTCTCTTAAATGGATCTGGGTTCAATATTTTTGTAACTAATCCAATTGTTTCTTTGTTAATTAAGTGTTTTGTGTGAGGTAAAACGTATTCCATGAAACTCTGTTTTCCGTAGTATGGAATTGACTTTGATGTATTGAGGACTTCATTAATTTGTGTCATTTTATTATATCCGAAGAATTTGACTTGACGATTGAAAACACCATCATTATCATTAGCTGCGAAGAATGCAGAGCATCCAAATAGTAGATTAGCTAGTATGCAACCACTAGCCCAAATATCAACTGCTTCATCGTATTTCTTGTAGCCCATTAATAATTCAGGGGCTTTATATGATTTAGTTCCAACACTGCAACTAAAATTGAACTTAGGATTCATGTAGTCAGCAAGGCCCCAATCTATAACTCTTAATTTTTGAGTTTGGAAATCGACCAAAATGTTTTGCCATTTTATGTCTCTATGGAATATATTTTGATGATGTGTTTTATTTAGGCAATCAAATAATTCTCGTAATAGCCATTTGAGTTGATCGAGTGTTAAGATATTAGGATTTGTAGTTTTTCCAAGTTCTGTAACAACAATTGGATAGCTATCATCTCCATACACGCCGTATAATCTGATTACTTGTGGTATATGTTGTAATGTTGCGAGAATCCTGATTTCGCGATTCAATCTCCATCTCTCTGTTGGTTTTAACTTTTTAATTGCAACTTCTGTTCCATTCTCTAAGTTTCCAGAGAAAACTTCTGAAAATTTTCCAGATCCAAGCTTTTTATTATACTTTAATCCTTCTTCGGGAAGAAAATCAATAGAATAGTTCTGATGAATCATCCATGGCTTTGTAAATTCGTCATCTCCATCAGCAGAATTAGTAACTGATGCTGAAGATAAAGAGTTGAAAATGAAATAAAAAATCATTGAACAAAAATGTTAAATAATTAAGAGAGTAATTTCAACTCATAGTGTATGTTAGATATCTTAGATTATAAAAGCTTTTTGATTAAAAAATCTTGAAAAAGTGAAAATTCTTGTGAAATGAGTGCAATAAATCAAACGCTTAATACGGTATTCATCAATCGAGCTGTTAAAGAATGTATTGGAATGAATACGTTTATGGATGAAAATCATGTTTGCAGGTGTTTACCTGGTTTTAATTTCGGAGATCCTGTTTCGAAATATGGTTGTTATCAATGCAGCTTAACATGTCATAAAAATGGATTCTGCGCACATCCAGGAAAATGCAAATGCCTTAAAGGACTCGTTGGCGATGGAGTTCTTAAATGTGATATTCCAATTCCAACTGTTACAAGTGTTTATCCATCAATTATTCGTTCTCAAGGATTCATCGATACACAAATTTCATACAGTTTAGATGTTCCTTACATACCAACCGAATTTTGGTGCAAATTCCATAATACTATTGTTAAAGGCGAACTTATCCAAAACGGCCTCGGAAAATGCAAAGCACCACCTTCAAATGAGCACGCTGTTCGTGTTTCTATTTCGTTTGATACAGTCAAGTACTCAGAGTCAGATGTTTTCTTATTTTACAATCAAGAAGCCAAGATTCAAGCGAATTTTAACTGGATACTCATAGTACTTTCGATAATCCTTTTCTTATGGGGAAATTCGATAATTATGAGCTGGGGAAAGATCGATGAATCACTTGAGTCTCCTCAGGACAAATTGTCAATGAATGAAAAAACCAATAATCCATTTGATAAAGCGAAACAAGTAGATGAATTTAATCCATTTTGAAATCTTTACGGTATAGAATCATATGTATATAAAATAAATGTTTGTTATTAACAAGTAATGTTTTTACATGTTTAAAACGAAAATAAGAAAATTTTTTATTAAAATCAAAAAATAGAGATATATTTCAAGTAAAATTATAGTGAGCTATGTCAAAAATGTAAAGTTTGTAATAAGAAAACACGTAACTTTATTTATATTAAAAATTATAATGGAATTCTTTCGAAAACGCAAGCAAATTTCTGGCCTCCGTTTTCCGTAACTTTATTTGATTCTTCGGTAGATGTTTTAGCTAGGTTGACGCATTTATCTGAATCGATATCTGTAACTCTCTTGAAAAGAGGATGTGCTTCCAGAATTGGAACTGCGTATTCAAAGTACTGGCGTACATCGGTAACTAGATAGAATCTTGCGCCTCCTTTCATAATATAGGCGTATTCATCAAGTAATTGTTCAGAAATGATCCGCCATTTAGCCTTTTTCTTTTTGAAATGAGGATCTGGGAAAAGAATGAATATTTTTTCGATAGTATGAGCTCTCAAGTAACGCATCAAAGTGCGCATAGTGTTTGCCCATTGAACTTGAATATTTAGAGCCAATCCTTGAGCATGATATGCTTGTATCTTCTTTTCAACGTATGTTGTAACTTGTGATCTGATCTCTAAAGCAAAAATCAAGTTTTGAGGAAATTCTGTTGAAAGAGCAAATGTCATTCCACCATATCCACAACCAATATCTAACATTGTTGGATAATGATCTGGAATTGAGTCTGGATTGGATTTTAATATTGGATATAATTCAGACCAATCAATTACGTCTGGATTTAATGGATAGGGAATGTTGCGATCACTCAATGGATTACTATGTGCCCTTTGACGATAGTCGCCTTTCTTTGGAAGATTAGGAATTTTAGCCTCGTTTTCAGTCATCAACGCGGCAAAATAAAAGTGTCAAAATTAATTTGGAGATGAATTTGATCTATATAGAGCCAATTATATCTCAAGATTGCGTTTTTGAAGCAAAGAATGGAAATTGCATAAAAACGGATTGAAAATTGCCCAAAACATGTATATTTGAAGAAATGTGTGGTTGTCAAAATATATACACTATATGAAAGAAACTGTGTTGCTATGAAAATGCCCAAATACTTGTTAAATTTATCCAATTATTTAACACATTGATAGATTTTGGACCATTTGAGCGAAATTTGTAATGCCAATACTAGATGAACCTGTTACCCCATACATGGAAATTCCAAAAAAAATTCCAAAATTAAAATTATTTATGAAATTTCAACGAAATTTTCATTTTAATCAGCAAATTCCAATATTTTTGGAAAAATTAACACTAAGGAAATTGATTTAAATAAGTATAAAAGTTTAATATATCTTCATTTCAGTCAAAAATAATATAATTTATTGTTTAGATCTAAAAATTTAATATTTCGTAGTAAAATCAAATGACAATTAGCATATTTTGACGTTTTTCAATTCATTTGAATCATATTTTCAACATGAAATTGTTATGCTTTGTCTTTTAAAAATAAAAAGAGTTCAAAATTATGTCTAACTTTGAGGTAAACAGATATAAGAATAATTTAATAGCGCTTTTAGACCAAGCTTCGAATTATCTCTACTTACAGAAAGATAGAGAATCCAGAAACTTGGATTACTACGAAAGAGAATATCAATTCAGGCATTCAATGAAAATTGCAGCAACAATCTACTCAAATTCACTTTTTATGACAGAAAATGTACGAAAGGAGTTAAAATATTCTGATGGAATCGCTTACATTAAAAAATTAATTTCAATTTCAATATTTCCATCATTATTTACGATCACTGAGCGTTGCAATGCAATAAAATGCTTCGCCTATATGATATCTCGATTTCCTCAAGAACTAAATCGTCAAGATAAAATTATTGTAATCCATTGCATGGAATTTGTCAGAATTCGTGGCGAAACAGGTACAGGCCCAATTAATGCAGCATGTCTAGCTGCAACTGCCAAACTTGCTTTGGTCAGACCAGAACTAAAAATTGCCTTACACAAAAGAATTGAAGCTCTACTCGATCAATTCAAGAGTCTTTCGATAGAGATGAAATGCGCTTTATTAAAGGCGATATTTCCAATCGATCATACTGCGAAAATCATAAAAGATGTTGAAAAATTGATCAAACAAAAAGAACTATTTGACAACGATGCTATACACGCCCTTGCTATACGTGCATATGTTAGCACACTCGTTAGATTGAACAAAACATCCAAAGAAAAAGTCCGAAATGGAATTATGAATTCATTAGCCCCAAAGATCAAGGAATTCGAATCAATAGATGCCAAGAAGTATATATTCAAGACTTACGGCTATTTATTACAAAATGTCGAGGAATTATCGGAGCCGATTTTGGAAATTTTGACAGACAACATTTCGAATCGTACTGCATTCCAACAGCTCGGATACTATTACATCAAGCAAAAGAACCTTGAAAAAGCGAAAGAACTTTACGATTTAGCATTTTCTCATGTTAAAATCAATTTTAATATGACTCCCGACCCAAAGATTCACAAAATGCTCTTCAAATTAGCTATTGCCTTTCCTGAATTTACGGAATGCACAAAACGTTGCATAATTATAAGATTAGATGTTATGCATGCTTTGTTTTGCGATTTTGCCTTGATTTCCCATGCTCATCTTCCAGAACAACATGATGCAACCATGAAGACCAATAAATGGCCGGATTATATTGACGTACGAACCAAAAATCTTTTTGACGCAAATTTAATTTATCAAAGTCGCTCAGAGATCAAGAAACTCACATTCTTCCAAAAGATCAACTGGAATGACTTCGATTTCCTTCACGGAAACACAGGACATTTTTATTTTCTCTCAAGCCAACAAATTTTTGCAGATCAGGTATCAGCATTTTCTACTATCGTTAATTATCGTCGCGATGTGAGGCATCTTTTGCCAATTTTCAGCTTTGCATTAAAAGATCAACAATCTCACCCAGAAAGACCAAAATGCCAAGCTTCTGATGTTGCAGAATTACTAGGAAAGTCATCAAATTACTACAATACCTCTTTCTTTATCACATTAATACATTTCCCACAATACATTGACAATCCATGCATCATTACTTTATTCGAGGATCTTATATCGATTCGTGATACATTTGATTTGATGACTAAGCAACATTTATAAATTTATTTTTTATATGTTTTTTTTTCTTTATTGACTAAAGTTGTTTGTATTCATAAACTGACAGCATTTACAAAAATAAGTAATAAGAAGTTGAAAAAACAAAATTTTATTAATTATTTTGATATCTTACTAATTCTAATATTAACAGCAGCCACTCTTCTTAGCTGTGAGCTGTGTCTGATGAGTATTCTGTGACTGTGTAGCATATTGAAGGATTTCTTGAATTATTTTTTCGCGATCACTGCCTTCTTTAGCAGAAAAGAGGAAACTCTTAACAAACCTACCTTCATATGCATTATTATCTTTTAATTCATTGCAAACACCTTCATCGAATTTATTTCCAATTAAAAACTTTGGAATACTAGGGTCAATTGATTGATTATCAGCGTCTTGTAAGAGAGTTGCAATATCAGCATGAGAGTCAGGGTTTGTAACATCATAAACATAAAGAAATAATTGGGCATTTTTAAGTCCAACCCAGTTAAATGAACGGAATCTCTCTGTACCGGCAGTATCAATGAAAGTTATATCATACATATGTCCATTAAGATTCTGGTCTTTTAGTTTGTGATATGCTAATTGTGGTGTATAAGCTACATTCTCTTCAAATTTGTCGTCAACCATTCTAATGACAATGCAGGTTTTACCTACATTGGATGAACCTATTAAACCAACTTGAATTTCTGTATTCTTGATTTCCTGAGCCATTTTTTTTTGAACGATAATCAATGGAAAAATTATAAAAATTTTGACATTCAAAAATATTTTGGAACTTTTATAACAAGAAAGAAATATATATTTTATAGTATCTATTTTTATTGTCAAACATTAAGAATAAGTATAATTTTTAGATTGATATTTTGATTTTGAACAATTAAGACAGGGTTCTAGCAGATATTTCAATGCCAGATTCATCCTGTTGCATTTATACTAACAATTTGATCATTACTTGTTTTGCTTTGTATAATTGATATAAAACATAAAGAAACAAGTAATTTCTTATGAGAATTAATAGGTTGGAATAACAGTCTTTGGTTTCTTCTTTTCTGATACAAACTTTTTAATTTTCTTTCCGGCTGGAGTATGAATAAGAACTGGTGGGATTACAAGACACACTACTAATGTTACTGTAATGAGAACAAAAATATTCAATATTCTATTAATAAATCCAAGCAATAAAATTGAAACAATAAATTCAAGGGTGTCAATTTTGTTAGGAGTGAATATTGCGCGATAAGAGATATCGAAAAACATATATACATAGCGAGCAGGTATCCATGCGTAATGAACAATTTCTGCAATTGGTCTAATTCGATCTGGAGCATCTTCAGCAGTTTCTGGTATTTCTGTAAGAAAATAATCTTTGATTTTATTGTTTAAATCAAAAACAAAGATTAATTGAAACAATGGAATTGAAATTATTGCTAAAATTGTTGGCGGAATGTAAAGAAAATACAATATTACATAAAGCAAGAATACAGATAATATAGATCCCATAATGATAAGATAAAGTTTGATATTTTTTAAGTATAAAGCTAATTGAAATTGATCGATATACTCTTTATAAGGCGTCAAGAGATTTGTAAGTCTGTTTTTGATGATCTCTGGAGTATACATATCTGGTTTTTCTGGTTGATAATCTTGTGATTGCTCTTGGTTATTTTCGCTCATAAAAAATTACAAATAGTATTGAATTTTCTGACATCAATATCAACGTTTGTAAAGGTAGGATATATATATCCTTATATTTTGAAGGCTTCTATCCATCTGTCAATTATCAGCTGTCACTTTTATAACAATGGATTTTGACGAGAAATGGTTTTCAACGGTAGAACAAGCAGTTATCGCTCAATACAATAAACTCAAAGTTAAAGGAGATATAGATAACTCCGTTCTTGCAGGTTTTTTACTTTATAACAGTGAAGAAAATAATCTTAAAGTAATATCACTCGCAACAGGCACAAAACTTATGTCTGGCGATCAGAGAGATAAAGACAAAGCGATTGGTCCGATTTTTGTGCATGATTGCCATGCCGAAATTTTGGCTCGTAGATGCCTTCAAAAATGGATATGGTCAGAACTTAATGATTTATTCAAAGAACGTCATCTTGATCCGAAATACACGCTCCATTTCTACACTAGCACTCCTCCATGTGGAGATTGCTGTGTTCATATTAAACCTGATGCTGTTCTCGTTGAAACAGGAGCAAAACCATTTGGATGGGATCAAAGCCAACTAGCTACTTCTCCACCGAACATTGTTCGCGGAAAACCAGGTCGTGGATCAAGATCTCCTGTTATGTCTTGTTCTGATAAAATAACAACATGGATTCATGCAGGACTCGAAGGAAACTTACTGTCTTCATTTGTGGATCCTATTTATCTAAAAACAATTTGCGTTGGTAATGGAAATTTAGAATCTTGCCAAAGATGCTTCTTCAAACGGCTTCCAAATACTTCTGACGTCAAAATAATATGTGGAGTGTCAGAATGGAAGCAAAATCTGGACTCTCCAGCTGCTTCTTCTGTTAGTTATTGTATTGGAGAAGATTATGAATTAATTTCACCAAAATTTGGAAGAAAATTCGGTGTTATCCCAAAGAACCAAGAAAATCCACGTTTTATGCCAAGCGTATGTGATGCAATGATGCTTAGAAGATATTGTTTGAAGAAATCAATTAAAAATATTAAATTTGGAGAGGCAAAGCTTCAAAACAAAGAATACAATGACAAGAAGAACAAAATAAAAGAAGAACTACTTAAACACGGAGGTACTTGGGCTCCAAAACTACAAGAAGAAAAAGATTGGGAGTATGATGAAGAAAGAATGACACCAAAACTTCCAGAACGGGAGAGATAGATAGAATTAACAGGTTTTCTTATTGTTTAATTCACAAAAAATAATTATATTTTTATTCATACATAAAAAGTTAATATAATGTTGTTTGTTGTGCTAACATCCACTAATACCATAGTGTCTTTTAAATTTTTTCGACTTTTTTTTAAATTTTGGAATATTTTTCTATAAGAATCTTCTTTTGAAGGAAATGGAATGGATTATTCGGTTTTTCATACAATACATATAAAGGTTGTCTTGAAACTACATGTTTTCAAATTTTTCGGAATATTTGACTTCAAAAAAGCTTGTTAAAGCTCAAACTTTCTTTGCATTTGCTAGGAATGTCTCAGCCATCTTCTTGTACTTGTCGTATTTGGTCAAATTTTCGAAATAAGTTATCAAATTTTTCTTTTTGAGTTCTTTGCAGACTTGGGGATAGAAACTCATAGAAACAATGACAGATATAGCATCAGCAGCATGGTTTTTCTCGGAAAGCAACTCAACTAAAGTAGATGTGAAAGTAATATAATCAGGAACGAAACAAACATGAGAAAGCTTATCAAATGTACTGAGAGCATTAGTGAATATACGTGGCTTATTCGCTTGTATCGTCAATTCAATATATTTCGCCAAAAAACCGCTTTCACTCAATCTTTTGAGGAAATTTTCATTTAATTCAGCTCTTCTTATTGTTGACGAAACAACGAAGTGCATTCTGTGTGGATCAGCAGCCAAAGCAGCAGTTAGAAGAGTAGGGAATCCTTCAAGTGATGTCGCCTTCGAACGATTCTCTTTTGCCTTGAAAATGACCAAGAAAACTCTCATTACTTCGATTGGATGTTTTTTATTTTCATTCATCCACTGAGTATTTTCGAGGAGGAATTCAGGGCCTGTCTTGTTTGATGCCATCTTGAGAATGACTATCCATGGAAGAGGACTCTCATTCGTTCTGTAAAGAAGTGCATTCAACAATGGAACAGATGCTGGAATCTTTTCTATCTTCAATAAAAGTGTCATTACACTTTGCCATATTTCATCATCTAATAAATGTTGAGCGGCTCTTGTGTAATCCAAGCCACTTCCGACATCACCGTAGATAATGGCCAAACCATTGTACGCTGCACAAATCGTTCTGACGTCTTTGGAATTGACGTACATCAAGAAAATCGAACGAATGTGAATTCTTCTTTCTTTCGCGTACATTTCGTATTTGGTTATGAGGTAATGGAATATGGCAAGATACATGTAACCACATGGTTTATCATTAAGTTCGTGGAGAAAAGAGAAAAGATTGTCGAGAATCGGCCAAGGATTAGGTAATGAAAGTAATTGCTTGATGTAGAAGCTGTAGAGGATCAGCATCTTTTCAGGACGCAATTTTATCATCTGAGTAATGGTCTCGCAGTGCTGTTGGCCAAGGAATTTCGGTGAATCAACAAATAATATTTCATAACAATCAGCAATGGCATCAGCAGTTTGTGGACTAACAGGATATGATGTAAAGAACTTAGCTTTCTCAAATAATTCGATAAATTGCTTGTTTCGCTTCATCATTAATCTGCAATTTGTCATAATTGTATTCAAAATCTCTGGAGGAGTCCTCGGATTGACATGTTTGCTGATAGGATCCCAGAATGGAGGGAATTGGATCGGTTCAATGGTTTTTGCATAATATTCAAGATATCTTACAAAAAGAGTATTGTTATAATCACCAAGAATCTCATCGGCATGGGCGGATTCTGATGTTTCCTCTTCTTCTGTTGTTGATGTATAACTATAATGAGATGAAATCGTTGGTTCGCTTTGTTTTACTGGTTGTTGCTTGGACTGATATTGTCTTTGGTCTTGTGGTTGCGATGGAGCTGATCCTGATGAACTCTTTCGAGATGGTGCCGGTGAATCTGATTCAGACTCTGATTTTCCTGGCTCAATGATACTATCTGATGTAGTTGATTGATCTTGAGCCATTTTATCTCTCATTTCTTCATCTTTATCGATAATTTGGAGGAATTTTTGGATATCATATAGATGAGTACCTGGAAATGCAACTTTTCCCCTTGCAAATTCATCTCTAATTTCTTCAAATGTTGGTCTTTCTGCTGGTTCTCTATGCCAGCATCTGCGTATAAGCTCCTGCATTTTTTGAGGAGTAACTTTTGTAAATTCGGGTCTTTCGTCGTTCTGTATAACAGCTTTGAATATATCATTGACTTTAAGGCCTCTGAAAGGACGAACATTTTCGTTCATTTCGTATAAAATCATTGCAAATGCATAAACATCGACTTTTCTATCGTAATTTGTAGACTGAATAAGTTCTGGAGCCATGTAGTTAGGTGTGCCAATCTTAGCTGTCATACCAACTGATCCGTGTTCTTCGAATCTGGCAATACCAAAATCGCAAATTCTTGGGAATAAACGAGAATCGAGTAAAATATTAGCAGCTTTAAGATCTCTGTGAATAATACCTAATGAGTGTAAATGACACATGCCATGTGCTATACCAATTGCGATGGCTGTAAGTTGAGTTCCAGAAAGAGGCTCAACTCCAGCTTTCTTTCTAACGTATTTATCGAGAGAGCCATTCGGCATAAATTCTGTTACGATTGTATATGGTGGTTGTGCTGTAAAACCAATGAATGGAACTAAAAACATATTATCACAACGAGCTAAGGTTTCAATTTCACCAATATATCTTCTTAATCGATTTCCTTCTAATCTTTCTGCGAAAATTTGTTTTATTGCACATTCTGTTCCTGTTTTTTTGTAAATTGCTCTATGAACTTCACCAAATCCACCTTTTCCAATTACATCACCAAAATCAAAGTCTTCCATCTTAACGACAAGCCTTGATTCTTCGTGGCTGAATTCTTCCAGGTATCTTTTATAAACACTCATCGAATTCAATAAAAATTTTTTAAACGTCTACGTTTTCGTAGGAATATTACATTATATAACATCAAAGGTTTAAAAAATAAAAAGAAATCTTGAAATTGAAATGATTTTCTTTACAATAATCGTCAAAATGAATGGATTCTGAATATAAAGAGCCAGAAATTGATGCTACATCAGGAAAACAGCATACAAATAACTCAATACAGGGTAATAATGATCACGATGAAAATTTTATTGATGTTTCTCAAGTAGATGACGAAATTTTAGAATTAATTCAGCTGACTATTGATCAAGATACAATTTCAGATAGAACAATCGCAATATTAGAAAATGTTAAGACATTTACTTTCCAAAAACCATTCATTTTCCCAGAAAATTTTAATAATAGTAATTTAATTACAGTATTCTGCCGTTTATTAGATTGTGTTGGCATACTATCAGAACTAAGTATTATTATTTTAGGGAATATCTGGCTTGAAATCGAAGTAAAATCTCATGAATTGTTTTTTGAGGACGAACTGATTGATTCTGTATTAAATGTCTTCTATCATGCTGAAATACCTCTGAAAATACATACTCTTCGTGCATTATCGAACTGTTTTAAGACAAGTCAAAGAGTTGCTGAATATGCTCTTAATCAACCAGACTTTATTCAACTAACAGGTGAGTTACTGTCTATTGACCATTATTCCCTACGTAATGAACTCCTAGATATGCTTTCCATCATTTCAAAATTTGGAAATCCAGAAATCCTGCAGCCATTTTTCGAACCATTATTAGATATGATAAGTATTAACTATCCTAAGCCAAGTTCTTTCGCAGCAATGTTTGTAAATACAATGGTTAAGAAAGATATATCTCTAGCCAGAAATACAGAAGATTTTCTTCTAAGATTACTCAATGGAATGAAATTGGGATATACTGATACACTTGTAACATGCATAGATACTATTTGCGCAATAATTCAGAGCATAAAGAACTCATTTAAAGATAGTTCACAAAAGATCTCTGATTATGTAGATTTTTCGCCACTGTTTAGTGAACAGTTCATGAAATACATCAATACGGCCATTTCTAGAAAACTTATTGAAGATTCCACAGAAATTTACAATCTTCTAGCAAATTTAAGTCCAGAGATCGATGAAACGTGTTGGGAGTTTGGTTTGATTGAAGAAACCTTCGATAACATGGAAGGAGTCTCATCAAGAAACAAAATTATTATTTTATCTTATCTTTGCACTTATTTTAAGAACTCTCCGAATGAGAGACGCGAAGAAATGGCTTTGCGGTTATTTGGAGAACTTTTACAAGTAATTGAAAATGTTGATGATTCTCAAACAGTTTTATTCCTCCAAACAATGATAAATATAAATCCAGATAATAGAATTGAGGATTTTAGTGATGAATGGCTCGAAATATTAGATTCATTTTGTGATAACGATAATGAAGCCATTTCTATAATGGCACAGCAATATCTTCAACAACTTGAAGAACAAAATTAATTTTCATTTATTTTTATTTATAAAATGTTTTAATTTTCTGTTTTTTTAAATTTCTTATTTTGTATTTTGTTCTTTGAATCCATGGGTTCACCATACATCACCACACTCACAAGCTAAAAGAAATAGTAATTGTTTAAATTTCCCCGAGAGCGAGATTTTTTTTTATTAAACATCTAGACATTATTTAATATTTGCATACATATAGCTTTTTTTCCTTATTGTTTATGCATACCACAAATGGAAATGCGAATTATGGTGGATAAAAAACAATAAGATTGAATCCAGATGAAAAATGATTTAAAACATCCACCAGAGGAATATCAATATTTCTTAATCTAATGTTATAGAATGTCAGATCTGACATAAATTTGAATTCTTGACGCCGTCAAAATCATGATTTCAATGTTAATTCAATCTTCAATTATATCGAAAATGAGCAAATATGGATATATTCCAATCTGTTATTGCACATTCTGTCGTTTAAATGAATTCTGATATAATGATTTGAATTTTTTTTTCACAAAAAAATCATAATTTAGAATGCTCGGAATACTTGCTTTGCGCAGAAGTGTAGTCAACGATGCAGTCTACGACGACGACGACAACTGGGGTCTTAAGCTTTCATACCACTCACCATGGGGTGTCTTTTCTATTGGTTATGATCGCAACGAAGACGACGACAACCTCCACTGGCGCTGGGGTCCAGTTGATTTCGACTTAGAACTCAACGAAGAAGAAGAAGAACAAGACGACGACAACTGGGGTCTTAAGCTTTCATACCACTCACCATGGGGTGTCTTTTCTATTGGCTATGATCGCAACGAAGACGACGACAACCTCCACTGGCGCTGGGGTCCAGTTGATTTCGACTTAGAACTCAACGAAGAGAAAAAACAAGATGATAAGTACAAATTTGGATTGAGACAAACTAGCAGAAAATTACCTCTTTCATTAAGACTTCCACATGGAAAGAAACCAACATTCAGACCGTGGATACAACCTATCCCTTACCGCCCAACTTTCTATCCAAAGTTTCCACCAGTTAAACTTTCCCGCGGCAAAAAACCACAATCAAATATTAACCAAGACATCATAAAGTACATCACGCAGCAAATAATAAAGCAAAAGACACCAGGTATCGGAACACCTATTACTGATGATATTCATCCTTGGTTTTGAGTAAACTATTTGCCAACCTCTTATTTCAATTTAAATTCTTTAAAAACACTAATTTTGAAGGTAGATAAATTTAAAACAATAGATATATTTTTATATTCAACATAAAATAAATAAATAAATATATAAATAAACATTCATATAAAATTACTTTCCAAGCTTTTCCTCTCTAGCTTTTCGCAAGTTTGCCATCAATCTTGAACTTTCCCTCTCCTTCGCCATGAGGTTATTGATAAGTTCAATTGTTGCAAATTCTTGGTCACTAAGCTTGGCTTTGATCAACCTCATATCGGCCGTCTTTCCTTGTCCGATACGAGTGATCTCTTCTCTCAGTTGCTTTTCTACACGAAGTTTGTCCTCAAGTTCTCGAATATTTGCTTCCAAAGATTGAATCTGAGAAGCATTTTCTTCTTCTTTTTGTCTTGCAGCAGCCTTAGCTTCAGCATATCTTTGATGAGCTTCTTCGAGTTTCTTCTTTGATGCTGCGTTATCTTGACTGCGACTTTCAACTTCTTTTTCAAGCATCTTTCGAGTCTGATCGATTTCTTCTCTGATTTCAAGAAGCTTCTCTTGAGCTTGAATTCGAGCAGCATAGTCAGCAATTACATCAACAGCTTCATTCAAGTCATTGCCTTGATATCCAACAGTTCCTGCGCGTTGCAAGACTTCTGAAACTGATTTTCTATCATTCCGTGCGAGAATAGAACTCTTCTCCACAATTTGAATAACTCTTTGCTGGATTTCTGTGGCCATTGGGAATGTGACGCGGGCAGCACCATTTGTAATTGTAGAAATGATCTTTGCAACGAAGTCTCTCAAAGAAGTAAGTTCTACTTGGACTTGGTTGCGAGAATCGTTGTAACTATTGAAAGCAACAATCAAATCTTCAATTGTCATTTCTCCAAATACTTTAACCAATGAATCTCTTAATAGTTTGAGATTTGAAGCTGTCTGAATTGCTTGAACTTGCTTGCAAGACAATGCGGCACATAGTTTGTCAATAAAGATTTGAAGATTGTTAACTTGGGATTGAGCTTGAGCCAAGTTTGCTTCAGTTTCCTTGAGCTTGTCTCTTGTTTGTGCTTGCTCATCTTGTGCGGCTTGTGCCTGTGATTTAACACGAGCAAGTTGTCCATCAAGATCAGAAACTAATTTATCCTTCTTTCCAAGCTCTTCAAGTTTTCCTTCTGCTTCTTTCTTTTCGTCATTGACTTTAGCCAATTCCTTCTCTGTTTTAGCAAGTTTGTCATCAACATCTTTCTTGTCATCGGCTAGTTTCTGGAATTTCTCTTCGAGATCCTTCTTCTCGTTGTTTGTCTGTGCTAGTTGTCTTTCTGCTTCTTTCTTGTCTTCTGTTACTTTGGCAAGTTGTTCCTTAAGTCCTTCATTTTCGCGTTTCAAGTCATTCAATTCATCACCAGAAATCCTTGAAAGGTTATCATGTTCTCTTTCTTTCTCCTTAAGTTGCTTCTTGACATCAGAAAGAGCTCTCTGAAGCTGTTCATTGTTCTTCACTGCTTCTTCATGAAGAGTTTCGTTTTCTTCTTGTAGTTCTTTAACTCTCTTTTGAAGATCTCCTGCAGTTTGGTTCAATTTCTTCTGTAATTGATCCTTTTCTTGTTTGTTTGCTTCGTTTTCTTGGTTAACTTTATCAAGGTCTTCTTTAGTTTGAGCTGCTTTATGTTCTGCATCGTTCTTCTGTTGTGTCATTGCTTCCAATTTCTCTTGCAATCCTGCAACATCTCCATTAAGTGATGCAACTTGTTGCTGATGTTTCTTGTCATTGATTTCAGCCTGTTTCTGGAGGTCTTCGATTTGTTGTTTGAGTTGCTCAATTTCATCGTCTTGTTGTTCTTTCTGCTTGTTCTTTTCTTGTTCAACTTGGTTCTTCTGCTGATTGAGGGCCTTGATTTGGTTCTCAAGGTTTTCAATTGCATCTTTATGTTCTTGATTTTCTTGTTCTTGTTCGTTCTGAAGATTTCCGATCTTCTTTCCAAGAACTTCGTTGTCACGCTGTGCTTGAGCAAGGGACTTCTGTAGATCTTCAATTTGTTCTTGGAGATCCATGACTTGGTTTCCATTTTCACGATCTTTCTGTTTCGATTGCTTGTTAAGATCGCTGATTGTCTTCTTTTGTTTCTCCATTTCTTCAGTATCTTTAGCAACTGTTTGCTTGAGTTCTTCTTCTTTTTCATTCAACTTCTTGCCAAGGTTTTCGTTGTCTTTCAGTAATTGTGCACCTTGCTTTTGAAGTTTGGCAATTTGATCCTGAAGATTTTGGATTTGATCAGCGTTTTCTTTATCCTTCTGTTGCTTCTGCTTATTCAAGTCATTGTACTGTTTCCTCTGCTTCTCAAGTTCATCGTTATCCTTAGCAATTGTTTGGTTAAGTTCTTCATCTTTGGCTTGCAATTTCTTGTTTGCATTATCATTGTCTTTTTGGGCTTGGTTCAATGCAGCTTGCAATTGTTCAATTTGTTCTTTAGCTTGTGACATTGCTGCAGCATTTTCTTTGTCTTTCTGTTTTCCTTGTTTGTTGAGTTCATTCAACTGGTTATTGAGTTGATCTTGTTCTGCATTTCCTTTAGCAATTGTTTCAGCAAGTTCTGCTTCTTTGTCAGCCAATTTCTTTTGTGTTGTCTCGAGATCGCGTTGGACTTGTGCCAAAGTGTTTTCAAGAACATCAATTTGATCCTTGAGTTCTTCGATTTGAGAATTCGAATCTTTCTCCTTTTGTTTGTTCTGCTTGTTGAGATCGTTGATTTGTTTCTTTGCATTTTCAATTTCATCGTTATCTTTGGCAATGACATTTGATAATTCTTCTTCTTTCTCAGCAAGTTTCTTATTCAAACCTTCGTTATCTTTCTGTGCTTGGCTCAAGTTCTTCTTTAATGCTTCGATTTGATCATTCAAGTTCATGATCTGGTTATTGTTGTCGTCATCCTTTTGCTTGGCTTGCTTGTTCATTTCACGAATCTTTTGATCATTTGCTCTCTGCATTTCTTCAATTTCTTTATTGAGCTGTTGAATTTCTTCGTCCTTTTCGTCATTGAGTTTGTTGTTATCTTGTTCTTGCTGTGCTTTTTGCTGCTGTAATTGTTTGAGCTGGTTCTGGAGTTTCTCAAGTTCAGCTTCATATTGCTGATCCTTTTGATTTTGTTCTTCTTGAAGAGCAGCAACTTTCTTGTTAAGATTATCATTATCTCTTTGTGATTGGTTGAGATTGTTCTGGAGATCTTCAATCTTATCTTCAAGATCAGTAACAGTTGATGCTGCTTCTTTATCTTTCTGTTTCGCTTGTTTGCCAAGGTCGTTAATTGTCTTCTTTGCGTTCTCGATTTCTTCATTATCTTTAGCAATCGTTTGTTTGAGTTCTTCTTCAGTTGCAGCTAATTTTCCTGCTAAAGCATCATTATCCTTCTTTGCATTTTCATTTTGCTTTGTCAAATTCTGGATTTGTTCTTCAAGATCTGCCTTTTCTTCAGCAAAGTCTTGTTCTTGTTGAGCCTTTTGTTGCTGAAGATCCTTTAGTTTCTTATCAGCAGCTGCTTTATCAGCTTCATGTTCCTTCTTTTCGTTCTGTAATTCAGCTTTAATGTCTTCTAATTTCTTGGCAATTGCTTCATTCTCTTTGTTCTTGCTTGCAATGTTAGAAGATTGATTTTCTGCCTTGTTTTGGAGCTCACTGATTTCTTCATCAGCATCAGCCAAAGCCTTTTCTTGATCATTGAGTAACTTCTGCTGTTGTGCATTTTCATCAGCGAGTTTAGCATTTTGTGATTGTAATTCTTCAATTTCATCAAGTAAAGCATCTTTTTCTTGGCTGAATTGCTGCTGAAGGGCATCTTGTTTCTTCTTTTCGTCCTTTTGAACAGCATTCTTAATTGCTTCAACAGCTTCGTCTAATGATGATGCACCATATCCAAGTTTATGAGCTTGTTCAAGTACATCAATAATTGCGTCTCTGTTTTCTTGTGCTTGTTCACGTTGTTTCTCAATATCTTTGAAGATTTGTGACTTCTTTGTTGGAGAAGCACCTGGTTGAGGCATAATCATTCCGTTTGCATCATAGAACTTCTTAATGATGTTTTGAGCATTTTCAAGTTCGAATTGTAGCTTCTTCTCATTCATTACAACATCTTCAACTGCTTCAGGAAGAGGAACAGCTCCATTTGTTTCAAGGAATTGCTCAACTTTGTTGCGTTCGTCAACAAGTTTCTTGATTGCTGGAACAACTTTATCTGAATTAGGAGTGCTGATCATATCTTGAATTTGGGAGAGAACTTGTCCTTTGTTGTTAAGATTTGCCACTGTGTCGACAGCCTGGTCTTCATCGACCTTGATGATTGCAAGGTTTTCATCGAACTCCTTTGCCTTCTGGAATGACATTTGTGCTGCTTGGAGTCCTGTATCTGGATCAGAAACACCAAGAGCTCCAATAATTGCCTTGAGTTTTCCTTCGAGTTGATTCTTTGATTCAGCTTCATCAGTAAACTCTTTAGCAATGTCATCAGCTTTGGCTTGAAGTTCTTTGATTTGTTTCTCTGCAGCCTTCATCTTTGCAGCATAATCCTTGTCTTTATCATCGCTTGTCTTTGTTGCTGTATCAAGTTTCTCTGATAATTCATCGATCTTATCCTGCATTCCTTTGATCTGTGCTTGTTTAGCATTGTTGTCATTCTTAGCTCTGTCTAATTCATCACCAAGTTGTTTCTTAACAGTATTTGTGATGTATTCGGAGGCTTCAATTGGATTATCACCAATGTATCCTAATTTCTGGGCTCTTCCAACGATTTCTTGAGCACAAACCCTGTCTTCATGAGCTTGATTTCCTTGTTTAACAGCATTCTTTAATGTTGTTTCGTTTGGATTGAACTCGAAGTTGAATGCCTTTCCAAACTTCTTGTTATATGCCTTGAGATTATTTAATTCTTCTAAGTTCTCCTTGTATTGATTAGCGAGGGAATCAACTTTAGAAGCAATGTCTCCGCCTTTTTCTGGAACTTGCAATGTACTCATCATATGCTTCCTTTCATTAGCAATGTTTGTTAATGTTTGAGGAAGTTCTGCTTGAGATACACCTATGTTTCTGCATGCTTTGTCTAATGTTGATTGAGCACTTGCATTATTCTGAATTGCCTTGAGCAAATCATCATTGTTTGTTGCTCCTATAGCATGCATTGCTTGTTCAATGAGATCCTTGAGATCAGAGTTTTGTTGTGAAAGTAATTTAAGCTGATTTTCAGCATTCTTTCTCTTTCCTTCTTCAGCATCAAGCTTGGATTGTGTTTTATCCTTTTCTTCAGCCATTTGCTGTAATTGTTCCTTAGTTTTGGCCAAATCATTGGCTGTTTCATTCAATTTCTTCTTGATTCCTTGTTTCTCTTCATTAGAATTCTTCAACAATTCTTCATGGGTCTGTTCTTTATCTGCTAATTGTTTCTTTGTATCAGCAATTGCTTTGTTCAATTGTTCTTTAGCCTTTGCACAATCAGCATTTGCTTTATTAGCTTCTTCCTTGAGATCTCCGTTTTCTTCTTCTAAAGCATCAATTTGTTTCTGTAAATCTGATGTGATCTGTGCCAATTTCTTCTGCAACAAATCATTCTCACGTTTAGCAGCTTCGACATCATTCTTCGACTTTTCCAAAGCATTGCTCATATCAGTGTTGTTTTGAGCAGCCTTTTGTTCAACTTGAGTCTTTTGAGCGTTGAGATCATTGATCTTTTGTTCTTGATTCTTTAATTGTTGTTTAGCTTGTTCTAATTCTTCTTCAAGAGCTTTGGCTTGTGCTTGATTCTTCTTATCATTTGCATCATTTTGCTTTTGCATTTCATCCATTTGTTCTTGTGCTTTTTGCAAATCTTGAGCATTTTGTTCTTTCTGCTTAGATAATTCTTGTTCTGTTTGTTGTTTCTGTTGCTGAAGTTGCTTCAACTGATTTTCTAATTTCTCTAATTCTTCAGCGTATTCTTTATCTTGTGTTGCCTTATCACCTTGCAAATTATTGATTCTCTTGTTGAGAGTATCATTTTCTCTTTGTGATTGAGCCAATTGTTTTTGTAATTGTTCAATTTGATCATGAAGATTCTGGAATTCAGCATTTGTTTCTTGTTCTTTCTGTTTGTTTTGTTTGTTCATTTCTTTCATCTTCTGTTCGTTTTCATCTCTTAATTGTTTCATTGCTTCATCTTTATTCATGTTATCCTGAGAAGCTGCTTGTAATTTCTTCTTCAATGATCCATTCTTTATCTTCAATGTTTCGCAATCTTTTGTAAGTTTTTCAACTTCATCTTCTAATTCATTGATTCTTGAAGCATTCTTATTATCATTGTTCTGTTTCTGAGCAGTCAAATCTTTATTCCTTTGCTCAAGAGTTTCGATTTCATCATTAGCATTCTTTAGTTGATTTTCTAAGTCTTTCTGTAATGTTGCTTGTTTCTTTGCATTTGTATCATTATCTCTTTTGTTGTTTTCTAGTTCTTGCTTGAGTTGTGCTGTCTGATCTTCGTATTGTTGCTGTAACTGAACTAATTTCTGTTCTGCTGCTGTCTTTTGAGCATTTGCATCTTTGAGTTTTTGTTCATTTTGTCCATTAAGAGCTTTAGTTGCTTCTAATTCGTTCTTGAGATTCTCAACATCTGTATCATATTTCTTATTAAGAGAATCATTTTGCTGTTTGACGTTATCCAATTCTTTCATTGTTTCATTCAATTTGCCTTGGATTTGGTCCTTTTCATCGTTCAATGCTTGAGCATTCTTTGCATTTTGGTTCTGCAAATCTTTCATCTTTTGTTCTAAGTTTGCATTGTTTTCTTTGGTTTGTTCTAATTCACCACCCAATTCTGAAGTTGTTTGTGACAATTTCTTCTGAGAAGCTTCTAATTGTTTACTTAGATTATCAAGTTTTCCTTGCAATTGCATGACTTGGTCATTAAGAGAAGCAATTTGTGATGTTGCTTGCTGCTCAGCAATTTGCTTTTGCTGAGTAATTTCTTTGAGTTTCTTCTCGAGATCATCTTTTTCTAATCTCAATTGTGATAATTGTTCAGCATGTTCATCATTAGAATTCTTATGTTTCTTCTTCAAAGCATCATGTTTAGTCTTGAGAATATCGATGTCTTTCTTCAGTTCATCGATTTCTGCTTCCATTTCATTGATTTGTCTCTCGGCTTTAGCTTCATTTGCATTCTTTTGTTGAGACATTTCTTTAAGTTTAGCAGTCAATGATTGCAATTCATTAACCAACTGTTGAATGTGAGATTCTGATTCTGAACTTGCCTTTTCGAGTTTCTTTGATAAACCTTCGTTTTGTTGTTTGTAATTTGCATTTTCTTTCTGTAATGATTCGATTTGGTCTTCGAGATCTATTTGTTTTCTGATGTAATCTTGTTCACTTTGGCCTTTAGCTTGCAACAAATCTTTATTCCTTTGTTCATATCTTTCGATATCTTTCTTTGCTGAATCCAAATCTGCTTTGAGCTGTTCATTTTCATTTGATAATTTCTTGGCTTGTTGTTGAGCTTCTCTTTGTGTATTTTGAAGTTGTTGATCCAAGTTATTGATTTTATCATTGAGTTTCTGTTTCTCTTCATTCATTTGTTTCTCTAAATCTCCTTTCTGCTGTGTAGTATCCTTTAATTTGTTGTTTGCAGCATCAAGATCTCCTTGTAATTGTTCGATTTTACCAATTAAATCATCTTTGAGTTGTTGTGTTTGCTTCTGAAGTTGATCATTTTCTTTGTTTCTGTTGTTCAAGTCATTCTGGAGCTGTTCAACTTGTTCTTCATAGAGATTGGCTGAATTTTGAAGAGATTGATTAGTTTGATTGATTTGATTGGTCAAATCATTTACGGTTTGATTCAATTTTTCAATTTCTTGTTTTTGATTTTCAATTTGAGAATCAGAAGCTTCTTTATCTTGTTGAGCTTGCTTCGTTTGTTGCTCTAATTGTCTTGACGTTGCCTGTAATTTAGCTTTAGTTCTATCAAGTTCTGAACCCAAATCAGTGATTGCTGTTTGCATTTTATCATCATTGTTTTCTTTCATCTTTTGGAGTTCTCTTAATTGTTGTTCTGTTTGTCTTAATTCTTCTTTAGTCTTATTGAGTTGATTTGTTAAATCATCGATTGTTTGTTGATTCCTCTTTTGAAGGGATTCTCCTTCTTTATGTAATATATCTAATTCTCTTTGTTGTGATTGTATCTTATCTTCATTCTCTGCATTGTTATGCAAAGCTGTTTGTAATTCATCTTTTGCATTGGCCAGTTTTCTAGCGATTCCTTGGTTTTGTCTTTCCAATTCTTTGATTCTGTCATCGCTGACTTGTTTTTGAGTTGTTAACTGTGCCAATTGTCTTTGCAATTGTTGGATCTTTTGGTCTTGGCTGTGAACAGTCATTGCAGCATCATCCAACTGAGATTGGACTTCTCCTAATTGTGATTCATTTTCAGAAATTCTGTTTGTATGATTCTGAATTTGTCTTGATAATTTATCGATGTTTCCATCTTTGTCTTTGATTTGGTTCTCGAGTTGTTCGTTTTCTTCAATGAGTTTCTTGTTTGCATCTTGGTAACCTTGTGATTCTTGTTTGAGTGATTCCAAGGCTTTCTTTAGTCTGCCGAGTTCTTCATTCAAATCATTCTTTTCGTTTTCAACTTTGACAATTGTTGCAGAACTGTCTCCGAGTTGTTTCTTGAGATCCTCAATCTTCTTCTTGTGTTTATCATTGATTTTCTCGAGATTTGCAAGTTTGGCGTTCATTTCTTCTTGTTCTGATTGAACATCGAATGCTTTTGCATCTTTTTCTTGTATATCACTCTTTAGCTGAGAAATCTTTTGGTTCTTATCATCTAAAGATGCTTGTAATATTGTTGTATTCGATTGTAACTCTGCTTTTTCATTTGATAACTGATCCAATTGTTGTTGCAAATTCTTTAATTGTGTTTCAAGTTTCTTGTTATCATTGATTTTCTCTTCAATCAAATTCTGCATTTCATCATTTTCTCCAATCAATTGTTTGATTTGAGCTTGTTCTCTTTGTATTTGATTGCCTTGTTCTTTGACTGTTTTATCAAGAGCTGTCTTTTCTTCTTCAGATTTCTCGAGTTTCTGTTCGAGATCAGTTATTTGTCCTTCAGCCTTTTCTTTCTTTTGTTTCAGATCATTCAAAATCTGTTTGAGTTTTTCGTATTCTTTGGCTGTTGTTCCCAAAGAATCCGCTTTCTCTTCTAAAACAGATTTTTCATCAAAAGCATTTGTCAATGATTGTTGAAGATTCTTTGCTTCGATTTGAGCAGCATTTAGCTTCTTCTGCATTGACTCATTCTCTGCTTTGATTGTATCCAATTCGTGCTGCAATTCATTGATCTGTTCGTTCTGTTGGATACATTTATTCTTCAGTTGTTTGTTCGCTTCTCTTAAATCTTTGAGTTTACTTTCTTTTTCTCCATTTGAAGTTGTTAAATCTGCTATTGACTGCTGCATCTCCTCTTCGTTTCTCTTTAATTGAGCAAGTTCTTTCTCAGCTGCATCTGCTCTTTGCGTTGCTTTCTTCACTTTGTTTTTGGCGATGTTTAGGACACCTTGGAGCTGATTTATTTCTTCGTTTGCTCTCTTGGCTTCGTTCATTGCCTCATCATATTTAACTGATGATGTTGATAGTGCGGAAGCATTCATTGCTGTTTCTGAGCGTAATTGAGATAATTCTTCTTCCATCTTCGTATTTTGGTTCTTAAGAGATTCGCAAACTGAGAATAATTGTCTTTGCTGACGTTTAAGAGTCTTAATTGCGTTTTCCCGGTCAAGTAAATCTCTCTTTATACGATCAGATTCACGCATTGACTGATTGAGCTCATCACGTAACTGTGTTTCAGTTTCTTCGTGATTGGCCATGAGAGATGGTATTGTTTCGTCATCATATCGATGCTTTAATTGAGAATTACGTTCTAATTCTTGTTTAAGCCTTCTCTCAACGGAATCAACACGATCTTTGCATTGCGTAGCGATTTCGATCATCTTTGATTTCATTTGTGTTGTATATTGCTTGAAAGACTTCTGTAACGAATTCACTAATTTCGAAGCTGTCTTTGAATCGGTCTGTAAAGCCTTTAATTTTCTATCTAAGTCAGAAACATCGACTTGTGCAAAGATATGAAGGAATGTTGGTGAGTTGAAATCTTGAATTGTTTTTTGAGGTCTTGAAATTTCAGATTTTTGCAAAATCGAAGTAGATGAGATTGAGTTAACACGTAATTGTGAGTTTTCATCCTGTAATGACTTTAACTGTTCAGTTAACGAATGAATAACACGCAATCTATCAGCAGATGTGGTGATTTGAGAGTCTGCGAAGGAAAGGACTCTATCACCCATAACACGAAGTAGTTCAGTGCGCTCATCATTAAAAATCGCTTCATATTTATTGATTTTTTGAATTAACGTATCAATAAATTGCTCTCTTCCATCGTTTAGCATCTTACTGATAAGCTCATCGATCCTCTGAGATAGATAATTGCTCGATATTTGCTCTTGTAATAACTGACGAACGATTAAATCGGAAGAAATTGATTTGATTGAATCTTGAAGTGATTTAATAAAGCTTTTCTTTCGTTCCTGATAAAGTTGAGCCACAATCTGCGCCGAATCATTTACTGGCGAGTATGTGGGGCTCGACTGAAACGTAGTCATCCCCTGAACAGGAAATGAATCCGTCACTTTTTCCAATTTGGCGCGAAATTTTCTGACATTATTGATTTCTTCAGTTATTGCATATTTTTGACATTTAAGTAGCTCGATTACTATTATATGGTAGAACTATTCTTAATTAAACATAAATCTTTTCTCAAGGATGCTTTTTTGACCAAAAAATTATCATGTTATGAAAAATATGTTCAAATGCGAACAATATACAATAAATTATTCATAAAATTGAATAACTTGAAAGTTGACATGATGATCAATACCGAAATCTTTGAGCAAATCCAATTTGATAATAAATTTACACACAAATCATATGATTGTAAAAATATTAATGTTTTGACTAAAAACAGTTTTAATATATATAACAAACAAATATAAAAAGTTAAATAAAAATTAAAAAAATAAAATTAAGCTGTTTTGATTACTTCTTGACTTGTAATTGTATTATCTTTCTCTTGTTTCTTGAGTGTATCCACTAATCTCTTTGTTAATTCTGGACTTTCTCTTCTCATAATAATATCTCTTCTTTCTTCATTTGTTAATGGAGGATCCAGCTTATCCATGATCATTACCTTATCAGCATAAGTTGGCCCGATACTTTCTGGGTTCTCTCTGAACTGAACTTTTGGCGAAATCTTTTCAATTTCGTCAGAATTGTTCTGTACGACGTCAAACTTATATTCATGTCTTATTGATCTGAATGGTGATAACTCAGGTAGCATTGCTTTAACTCTATCAACTTGCGTTGTAGACAAACGCGACATTGCTTCCAAAACAAGCATAACTTGGTTTCTTTCGATTTCCTTCCACATTCTCTTGTTTGCTTCGAGTCTTGCCATTGATGACTCTGTGTTTGCAAGCAAAGTAGAGAGATGTTTGTAAGTTGCTTCGTTTGTAGCAGCTTTGAGAGCTTCTTGAGTTGCAGCTTTCATTTCTTGTCTCTGTCTTCTTTCGCGTTTTATTCTCTCTCTTTCGCGCTTTGCAATCATTATCTTTGATGATGCTTCGTTGATAGGAGATGTAGAGTTCTTGAGGATAATGAGTTCTCGCTTGAGTTTCCTGATTTCATCATCGCGTTGTGAAATTTCGTTGTAACAAATTTCAATTCTTGATTTAATGTTGTCAGCTCTAATTTGTGTTCTCTTTGTTGTATCATTTGCTTTGATAACATCTAATTTAGTTCTATGTAATTGCAGTGTCAATTCAGTGATCTTTTGACGTTGTGTCATAATTGTTTTCTCTGAAGTTTCGTTTTGTTGGACCAATTTCTTGATTTGTTCTCTTAATCTTTCAATTAATCTCATTGTTTCTAAGTTCTGTCTTTGTTCAATCTTCTGAGCAATTTGCATACCTCTTAATGACAAATTCTCACTTCTTGCTGATGTGTTTCCTTGTATAGGAGGTGGCAATGGCGGAATAACCATTGGTTTCTTTATTGCTTTCAGTTCATTTGTCATTGAATTATTTACCATCAAAGTAATTCTGACAGGTTCTGGAGGATTTTGTTCGAGAGTTTTATCGATGACAATTCCAGGAAGAGGAGGAATAGGAGCTTTCATTTGTTGGCTTCTACTTGTTGAGTTGCCCATTGATGTCTTTGGCCTGTTATTCGTTGGTGGTTCGATATTCATCTGTGGGAATTTGAGATTTGAAGTTATAACTGGCAAATCTCCTTCAGGTTTATTATTTGTTGTTGCAAGAACAACAGCTGTTGTGTCTTGTATCCTTGTTGTTGGTCTGACTTTCTCACTGACACCAGAGATTTGTCTTTTACCTTGTACTGCATTGTTTATTGTTAAATCAACATCAGTATTCGTTGGCAAAGAAGGAGTTGTTGATGTTGTATGTCTCATTCTTTGTCTGTTTGTTTGTGTTTGTGGTCTTTCTGTTAATATGAGTTTCTTCTTCTTGTTTCCAAGGAAGTTCAAAGGATTGTGGACTGAATGTGGTGCATTGTCTCCTAATGTTGAAAAGTTGTCTTTCTGGAAGTCAATTAAAACTAGGCTTTCTTCAAATGTATCAATTTCATCACCATAAGTAGAACTATTTCTAAACAAGTTTTCTTTAGAATTATATGAAGAATCAGCTTGTTTTGGCTCTTCCATTTCATCTTCTTCATGTTTAGTTTCTGTTAATTGTATATGTTCATTTGTTTCTTCTTTAACAGGTTGTGTTATTTGTTCTTCGTGTTTTTCTTCTTCTTCCTTCTTTTCTTCAACAATTTCTTGTTTTTCTTCTTCGACATTTTGTTTTTGCTCTTTAGGTGTTGGAGGAAGTTGTTTCTGATTATCATTTTTAACAATTGATTGTCTTTGTAGTTGATTTTGATAATCTTTCAAAGAGTTTTGTTTAGAATGATTTTGCAACTTAAGACTTACACTCTTTTGTGAGTTGTTGTCTTTTTGAAGTGGTTGATTTGCATTTTGTTTGGATTTTAATGTCAATTGGATGTTTAATTCTTCCAATTGCATTTTCAGCTGTCTTATTTCACTTCTTGCGTTGAATAAATCATCTTCTAATCTGGAGTTTGCTTGTAAAAGAACTGCATTATTTGCTGTTGCTTCTTCTAATTGTTTTCTTTGACTTTCATTAACAATTTTATCAGCATTTAATTGTTCTTTTAAGTGTTCAATATCGGCATCTTTGAACATAATTGATGAAGTATTTGATCTCTTGAAATTATTATTATCATCAATTAAATCAGATACTTGTATTTGAAGTTTCTTTTCTCTTTCATATGCACGAGATAACTCATCTTCTAAATCATTAACTTTACTTGTTAACATTGATTTTTCTGCATTGACAGCATCTAACAAACTGACCATATTCAACATATGTTTCTTGAATTGATCTTTAGCTTGATCAGGTGTTGCTCCTTCTCCTGCAGCCATTGCTTCTCTTAGATTAGATAATTGTGCTTGTGTTAATGAAGCTTCTGCATTCTTTTGTTCCTTTAGTTCTTCGATTCTTTGTTGAAGTTTATTTACTTCTGTTTGTAATGTTTCTGTTTCTAATTGTTTAGATTTGAGTTCTTTTCTTAAATTATCTCTTTGAACTCTTAATCTTTTCGCTTCTGATGATGTTTCTTCTGCTTGAGAAATCTGTTCAAGTTCATTCTTATTCAATTCAGCAATGAAAACTTGTATATCATTTGTGATTTTATCCATTTGCTGTTTAGGAATGACAACATCTTCTTTCACTTGTTTGATTGACTGAGAAACAGTTGCCATCAAAATGTCGTATCTTTGAACTTCTTCTTCTGTTTTTACAAGTTTCAAACTGTCAACAACAGAAAGAGAATTCTCAAGTTTATGGAGATGATTTAATTGATTCATCTTAGAAGAAGCATTTGGATCATCAGCTTGTTGTTGAATAGAATTAACAAGTTCTTGTTGGAACTTAACTTCACTCTTAACTGCTTGAACTTTTGTAGAATTCAAGTCATTCAAAGTTCTTTCATATCTTTGTTTCATTGTTGAAACACATTTAACTAAAGTTTGTCCAATGCCAATAATTCTGATGAGTTTCGTGTGTAAATCATCATGTTCGTTCTTTGCGGCTTTGATGGAATCCAAGAATGAGAAATGCGCATCATCAGTGTATCCAGCTGCTGCAATATAAGCGTAATAAGCCATCGAATCAGATCCAATTTTTTCAACACATTCGTTATCGTCATCTCCGAAAATCTTTAATTCTCTCATTTGTGTTTGAAGTAATTTGATTCCTGAACCAAATGGATCAGCGTTGATATCGATATCAGGAAGATTTACGTCTTGTATGTTCATCTTCTTCATTTCTAATTTGGATCTCGAAGATTTGATCTTTTTAATTCTTCCTGAAGGCGCTGGATCATTTTGATTTTCATTAGTTTGTTCTTCGTAATCTTCTTCGTAAACTTCTTCTTCTTCAGCATCATTTCGAAGTTCCGCTGATGACATATCAGATGTCAATGTCAAATAACTTGATCCATTAATCAAATCCTTTGAAAGTGTTGGAATTCCAAGATTTTCATTGGTATATGCTCTTAATGGAATTCCTGCACTTCTTGAGAATTTAGGTTTAGCAATTTCATCTAATGTATGATCTTTAACTAATACAACAATTGGTTTTTCTGCTAATTGTTTCTGTGCTTCACTCAAGTCTTTCTTTAACTTGGAATACAAACCTTTTTGTCTATCAAATGCAGTAACTTTGATTGAATCCAAGAAACCATGATTAGGTGTTTGTCCAAGAGGAACTTCAAATGAATGTATATCCATTTCCAAGCCTTTCTTTCTCTCATAACCAATTTCAGCTGAAATAATGTCCATGTGATGGAATTCAAGTTTTCGAACAAATCCTTCATCATGATCTTTGACAACAAAGCTAACTATTGGTTCTAATCTGCAGTAATGATTAACAATAGATATACCTAAATGTACTTCATCTTTAGGTTCTTGCAATGGAACTTGGTGATCAAATATTTCAGTGTTTTCTGTTAAATCAAATTTCTTTGCCAAATATTTTTCACCAACAAAAGTCATGACAATTCGTAATTCTTCTTGTCTTGGACTTATGTGGAATGAATCATGACCAGAAGGTATAGTTAAGTTAGTAATTGATTCGGCTTCTTCTTTACTCAATGGTTCAGAAACCAACAAATTCAATTTATGAGTAATTGGATCAACAGTTTGTGTGTAAATATCAAAGTATTCAATAAATTCTTCTTCATATTCATTCATTTCTTCTTCCTCTTCTTGGATTTCTTCTTTTGGTTCTTCTTGGACTTGTTTTTCTTCTTTTTTCTTCTCTTCTTCCTCTTCAACTTTCTTTGTTTCTTCTTCAACAACTTCATTAACTTTTGGTGGTTCTTCAACAACAGTTTCTTCTTTAGGTTTCTCTTCTTCAATAATTTCTTTTGGTAATTCTTTTGGTTTTTCTTCTTCAGCGATTTCGATTGGTTTAATTATTTGAGTTTTAGCAAGTTTTGGTTCTTCTTTGTTTACTAATGGTGATGAAGGACGCTTTGGTTGTTTTGGTTTTATGTTTGGCTCTGATTTAACTTTAATAGTTTTAGCTCTCTTTCTCGATGGAGTTTTAACAAATGGTTCTTGCTGCTGTTGATTTTGAATAACAATATTATCAAATCTCTGTATTTGAGCAGCTTTTTCATTAATGATATTCAAGAATTGGACTTTTTGTTGTACAGAAAGATGGATTTCACGCTTTGGTTCTTCTTTCTTTGGTAAAATTCCTGAAGGAATAGGAACTTCTTTTTCTTCTCCTTTCTCATCTTTAACAACAACATTTTCAACATGTAAAAGAACTTCATCTTCTGTGAATTTCAATTGATTGTTAATTGTAGCTGTTGTCCCAATATCAACACTCAATTTCTGTCTGTTATTAAAGATCCCTTCATTACCAGACATCGAGAAATTAATTTGTTTCTTGGCTGTATTTCCTAATTCACTCAAATCTTTGATCATTTTATCTCTTTCTTGGATTTCTAACAAATGTTTTTCATTCATTTCATCTATTAATTGTTTCAGTTTCGTTTGATCACCATTAGCAGAACTTCTAAACATTTCTAGTTCTCTCTTCATGTCATCAATTGTTTTGGCTCCATTTCCTTGTTCGAGTTCCATATCAGACATTTTCTGCCTTAATTCAATGATTTTTTCTGTCAATGATTTAGTTTTCTCGGAAACTTCATTGATAGTAATTACTGGTTCATTTTGGACATCTTCCATTTTAATTAATTGTTCATTCATTGTTTCAAACATATTTGTTGTTGATTCGATCATTTTCATGACATTTTCAATTGTTTCTTTGTTTCCTGTCCTGTTTATTAAATCTTGGAGTTCAACAAGTTTGTCTCTTACTCCTTGCTGAACATTTGAAGCCAATTTAGTCATTTCTCTATCATAAAACTTCTTTTGTTTTTCAAGTTCCCATTTGTTTTGGTTTTCCATTTCTTCTCTTGCTATTTTGAGTTTTTCAGCATATTTACTTATCTCTAAACTCTGATTTGCAATGTTAGGAACAGCAATTTCTGTTTTCTCTGCATCAGAAGTTTCCAAATTTGTCTTGAAAATCTGTCTGTCAACTCCTGATTTTTGACAAAATTCGTCTATGTTAGAGTTGATGTTTTTAATGACTTCTAAGTCATTGTTATGTGCATTTTCAAGTTCTTGGATTCTCTTCTGCAGTTTCTCAACTTTTTCGTTCGCTTCTGCTTCAACTTTTCTGACTTCTACATTGAATTTTTCTTCGAAATCGAGTTCCAAGATTTGTCTATCATGCTTTAATGATTCCAAAGCAATATTCATTTCATCTTGATGATTCTCTTGTAATCCTTTAATTCTATGTTCATATTGTCTTGTTATTAACGCCAATTTCGATGCCAAATTGTTCATTGCCGTTTGTTTCATTTCTTCTTTTTCTTGGTTCAAATCATCAATTCTCTTTTGGAATTCCGCTTGTATTGAAGCCAACAAAGCTTGTTGATCACCTGTAGTAACAGTAGCTAACAAGGCACGTCTTTCCGACATGTATCTTTCGCGTTGATCATCTAATTGTCTTCTCATTTCTTCTGAAAATTCTTGTTGTAATTTTTTGATTTCTTCGCCATGTTGTAAAATCATCAATGCTTTCTCTTCTTCGTATTGCTTCTGGGAAATACCTTTTACTTCAGGTGGAGCTTGTTGTGGTCTATGACTTTCTATTGCATTGATCTTTAATTGTTTCTGTAAAGCGGCGTTTAAATCAAAAATTTCTTGTTCTTTCTTTTTGAGTTTTTCCAAAACACCGTTCATTTGTTTATCTTGATCTTTTATCTTGTCATCTCTTTGTGCAATGACTGCTTTGAGTTCTTCTAGTTTCTTATTATACATACTTTCCATTTCTTCTTGAACAAGCTTAAGATTTGCAAGATTATTGTTCATTTCAAGCATTTCTCGGGAATTCGATCTTTCTGGTTGTTGATTTGTTTGTGCAGCAATTCTTTTTAATTCGGAATCTTGTAATTGTTTCTTTAATTGGTCAACTTGGTTCTTTAGTTCTGTCATTTGCTTTATTTGTGCTTCAAATTGCTCTTTAACCCTTGCTGCTTCTTTTTTGGCATCTGCTTCTTGTTTCTTTTTGATTTTTCGCTTCTCTGCTGCGGCATTTTGTTCATCAATTGTCTTTTTGAGCTTTGATATGTCTTCGTTTTTGATTGTAATGATGCGTTTAAGTGCTCCTATCTGTTTGAACATGAAATCAGAAATATCATTGTGAATTAAGACGACTTTTTCGGATTTCTCATTAACATCTGATACAATTCGCTCGAGATCTTTAATGACATGATCTACGTTTGGTACGTCTGTTAATTCGACATTTAAATCCGTTTTATTATTCATCTGTGCAAACCACATTTTAAGTGTATCAATGAGTATTTTCTCGGAATCTGTAAGATCTTTCATTTGACTTATCAAATCTAGAACACCTGCTTTTGATTCTGTTAAAATTATATTTTCATCGAAAACTTCGTTGCCAGTTTCCCTTTCATAGACTGCAACCATATTCATTACAGTCTCTTGATCGATATCATCGAATTTTGAGATCAGAGATTGTATTTTTCCTGATGTATCTTGTAATGCGCTGACAGTCATTGTTCTTTTGAGCTCATCAGCTTCGACAACTGTGTATTCTCTCGGCTTTACACTCTCGATATCGGCCCAAAGCTGATTTGCTTTGTGCTCATTAAGATAATTTCCGTTTGGAAGTTCGATGTCGTGATTTTTTGAGGAAGGTGGTCTTGCTTTTGCAGTGAGTGGTCTTATCTTAGAAAGACCAACGCGTGAGGATCCTCGAAATCCAGCCGCGTTAGACATTTATCTAAGATTCTTTTTTTGAAAAAATGCTCGTTATAAATTTCCTCGCCCTTGAGATAAAAATTTATTTCATGAGAAAAGAAAAACAAGTTTCCAATACTTGTCTTAGCATGCGAAAGATATTTTCTCAAAGAGATATGCTATAATCACTAAGTTTTACTTTCAATTTATCAAAAAATTGAAATAGAAAGGAAATGAATTAGTTGTTAATAAGCATATCATGATGAATCAAAAATGAACTTATACAATACCTTGCAAACTTGAACTTGATTCAATTCTAATATATTTGCTCATTCTTGAGAACCTTTGGAGGTGAAACAATCAATAGAACAGTAATTATATTCTCAGATATGGAATAGTAGAACTTATCAATAAAGCTTGTTCAATAAAATCAATATATCTCTAACACGTATTGATATTGATATAAAATTCTTATGCATATGCTCCATGAGTTGATGGACTACATATGTTTGCATTGAAACACATCTTTTAATTTTTATTTTTGAAAGAGATCAATTTAGGAGTATAATTACAAAAATACATATTAAATTAGGATCAATATAAATGATTTTATCATTCAATATATAACAAACATAATATAATAACGATAATAATTAAAAAAAAATTATCCGAAATCGGTAATAAGAGACTTTTCAAGATCAAGTCTGTCACGGTAAGCTTGTGAGCGTCGTCCCCAGTATAGAGCATAAATAATTGCAGGAATTAAAACTAACAAACCGACAGAAACACAAATTATAGCTGTTACAACTTTAGTCAACTTTTTTCCTTTCTTCTCTTGGCATTGGTCGACTAATTTGTGCGGCAATGCTTTGTTTTTGATTTCATGAATTCGATCTGTAATTTTCAGAAGACTTTCATTATAACTAGGCATACGTATTGATGTATTCTTGAAATAGCACTGAGAAACTATGAGTTGACTGTTATTAAATTTGAGATTAAATAATTGACTTGAATTATAGTTGAAATCCAAGAATATGGTCTTAGATATCATCATATTAGTACTTCTCTTAATTTCATATATAAAAGCTTCACTAATACAAAAAATATTTTAGAAATTGCAATAATTAATCTGAAAATCAACTCTATCGCTTAGTGTCCATGTGTGTTCCATGAAACTAAGTGTAGATCTGCAATGCGATACATTATTTCCATAGAAATTTACTTTAACACTGTTAAAACACAAAGATTTTTGACTTTTTGAGGAAAAAACTATTGATTCATTAAAAAACAATGATCTACATTGTCTATAAGATGCAACCATCAATCCATCGCATCCAGAACAGCATGTTTTAGAAACAATTGAATTTGTACAATATTCCAAGAGGAAAGCAGATGCCCCGTTGTATTCAGAACGTGCAGCAGATGAAATGTTCATAAATGAACAACTTTCTATTCTTGTAGTGTCACTTCTGTAAATTAAAATTGCAGGAGCTGTTACAACGCCAGAACAAGAGAAAATACAATCTACAATCTCTGTCTTAGGATACATGACTAATGGATCCAGTGTAATGCTCATGTTTTTGCTAGTTAAAGAATAATTCGAAATTTTTGTAAGATAACATAAGATTCTTTCCGCGCTTATAGCAATATCTTTAATATTTTTACTGTAGTTGACTGGGTTTTCTGTTGCTGACTCAGTATATGAACCGCTAGCGTAAACTAAAAATCCCAGAGTAAATTTCATATTAGTAAACGTGTTTTCGATTAAAACAGGCTTTGTATCGTATAAACTAATAAAATAGTTCACAGATGCCTTTAAAAATACAGAGTGATCTAAAGATGCCAAATAAAAATCGTCAGCGGTGCCATTATAAAAAGAGAGATATGAGCCTGTAGTAATCTTTACATCAGGATTTCCAAAATTCTTGAATCTAACGTATCTAAACTCATCTTGAAAATTATCAATTTCATTGCAAGCGATAAAGTTCACATATGTGTGCGAATAATTAACATTGTATGTATATGGCTTGTAAATATGATCGAGGCCCTTTGCTCGTACATTTGTGAGAAATGTCGAATTTATTTCTGCGCTTGCCTTTTTTGCTGATAAAATACCAATTGAGTTGGTACTTATTTCGTTAAAACAGCATTTACTTATTTCCACATGTGCAGATTCCGAATAAAGACAACTTCTTTCCGAATCTTTTCCTGGTCTTTCATTAAACTGCATAGCCTACGAAACATTGAATCTTGTATTTTCATAAAGCTATTTATTTGATCTACTTGGAACCATTGCGAAATCGCAATTGCGTCTGTGTCTTTTACAGTAATTCCTATAAAAATGCAATTTCTGATCCAAATACTTTCAGATACAATTGTTGCTGCTCGCAATTCATTATCCGAAATTATCATGAATTGCGAGTTATAAATTTCTGATAAAATTTTTCTGATCAAAACAATATTGTTTTGAAAATAGATTCATTTCTTTATTTTATGTTAGAAGATTTTGAATTCCATTCAAAATTGAAAAGGTGTGTTTATTTTCAACTTTGTTCATGAGCAATGATTCGTTTAAGCAATTTGATGACTTCATTGAAATTTATGAAAAACTATACCATATAGAACCAAACGAATCTATCGAAGAAATTCTAGATTTGTTAATTGATTGTTTAATCGATAAGTACAATAGAACCACAGACCAAATAATATCAAGTATTTTAAGAACTGCAAAATATAATTATCGTTCAATTAGGGTTTATTCTCAAATATTAAATGAAATTCTTGATCTTGATTCACATTCTTCAAGATATGTATTAATGAAATATAAACCCCTAATTAAATATTACCGTTATATTGTTACATTGAAATTCCCAAAAGAATCTGACATTGAAATTATTATAATGAATGATCAAATTGATAAATTCAAGGAATACATAATAGATCAAGATATTAGTGACATTAGCATCAATCTTTTGAACTTAAAGGAAAAATCTCTTCTTGAAGTTTGCGCTTATTTTGGAGCAGTGAATATATTCTATTTTCTTCATTTGAATTTAGGTCACCAAATAACAGAAAGGTGTCTTAAGTTGGCAATATATGGGAGAAATACAGATATAATCAATGAATGCTTAAAACATTTTCAAGCTAATTCAAAAACTTGTAAGGCAGCAATTATTTCTCATAACAACATTTTTCTGAAAAATATTATGCATCAAGATCTTATGGATAAAAACATACCTTTTCAGTTTATTGTACCAGACTCACAGAACTTAAAGGCACTCATTCTTTTATATCAGAAAGATAAAAACTTAATAATACCATACTGCTCTGCATTTCCTCAAACATTAGAGATTCTCAAAAATGAATCTTTTGATTTATCAAAAATTACTTCCACTCAAGATAAATTACTCCATTATGCAGCGAGGTATAATAATTTTGATATATGCAAATATTTATTAAGTCATCAAGAAAAATATCATACAAATGTTAATGATAAGGATAGTAAATCGCTAACTTCTCTTCACTATGCAGCAGAAATCAACAGCGAAGCCATCGCACAGCTTCTTATTTTACATGGAGCAGATATTAACTCAACAAATGATAATTTAGAAACACCTTTACACTTTGCGGCTCTAAATAATAGCATAGAAACATATGAAGTTCTTGTTAATAATGGTGCAGAGGTCGATGATAGAGCTTTAAACCATGCTATCAAATATATTAATGATACTCTAATTGAGAAACCGTAGATCTTTATATAACTCATAAAGCAGGTGTAAATCTAAAAATGTAAACACACATCTAAATAAAGATAGAAAAAAATATTTAAAAATTTACATGATAATCATAACTTGAATCATCAACATTGAAGAAGAAAATATATTTGTATAGAAAAAGCAATTACGTGTTACAATGTTTCCAATGCAATTTTTTACAGATTGCTTGGAAAGCTTTGCGTTATTGAATAAATTTTCCAAGAATAACTTACTTCTGTTTTCGACTTTAATTCCGCAATTCAATCTTGAACATCCTTTGAAAGCATTTGCTCCAACACCAGTTACACATATTGGTATATTAATCCATGTTAGGCTAGAGCAGCTTTCGAATGCACTTGAAGAGATATATGAAATTGAATCGGAAGGAATAAATATTGATACTAAATTTGTACATGAACGGAAAGCTCCTTCGTTAATGAAGCGAGTATCACCTGGTAGTGAAAATGAGGTTACTTCGGATGCAGGTGGGAATAGAACTAAAGAAATCAAATCATATGTAAATAGGGCTCCAGTCATAACTCTATAACTGCTGGAAAAGCTACTTATTTTTTTGAGTCGCATACATCCTCTAAATGCTCCAATTCCAATACTTGTCAATGCACTATTTTCTGGGATATTGATCTCTTCTAGATAAAAACAATCTGCAAATGAATCTATTCCTATTGATGTCAGTGTTTGAGGAAATGTGATATTTTTAACACCACTATTTCTAACAGCCATATCAGATATTTTCTTGAGATTTGGCGGAAGTATAAGAATTGAAAGGGAAGTAGTATCTTGAATAGATTTTAAACCTAGATTTTCAAAATTCACACATTTTGAGAAATCGAATTTCTTTATATTAGTTTGTGAGAATGATTCAATATCAATAAACCTCAGTGAATTTCCATTTATTTCTACACGTTCTAGTTTTGAACAATTTTTAAATGCATAATCATTGATATTTGTAAGTGAAGATGGGAGTTCAATATCTACTAAACTTGTACACCCGCAAAAGGTATATTCGAAAATTTTTTGTAAGGATGAGGATGATAATGTTATGGACTTAAGATTGGAACATCCATAAAATGCATATGATTCCAAATTTTTAGCGTTATTAATCGTTATACTTTCAAGTCTCAAACAGTTATAAAATGCATCTTCTTCAATATTCTCTATAGTTGAAGGGAGGTTAACAAATTGCAGATTTTTGCAATTGCAAAATGCGGATGCTTTTATGGATTTCAGTATAGAATCACCTGGAAATGTAATTTTTGTTATTTTATCTCTTCCATCAAATACAGAACTTGTTATTGTTTGTATTGAGTTTAATATTACGAATTCTTTTTCAACATTCTCTCCTATATATCCATTAATCGTTTGATTACTTTTATCAATAATTAAGAGTTGGGAATCAATATATAAATTGGAATTAGGACCAAATTTTAATTTGGTAGTTTTAGGAAATGCATTTCCCGCAAGATAAGTAATATTATCTGGTAACGTGACTTCAGAAAGTTTCCAACATCCAACAAAACAATTTGAATCGATTAATTTAGCCGAATCTGGAATATTAATTGAAGTTATAGGTGCATCTTGAAAAGTATTTGCCGATAAATTTTTAAGATTCTCAGAAAGTCTTATTGAAGCAAGATTCGGACATGAAGCAAAAGCATTATAATCTATACTTATAACAGAATTTGGAATATCCAAATCTTGAATTTTCGACTTAAAGAATGCATATCTTTCAATTACTTGAAGCGAATTTGGAAACTGGACATGAGAAATCGATGAACTGCTGAAAGAAGCAAGCACAATTCTATTAACACCATTTGGAAAAACTGCTGTTCCTGTCATTCTTAATGGATAACCAATTGAAATTGTACCATCTATTGTTAAGAGTATATTATTTTCTATTTTGTATTTTTGATTTCCTGAACTAATTGTAATGCTATCAAGAAAAGCATATTCAAAACACCCATATTCAATACTATTCACTGCACTCATAAAACTATATGGTCCAAGTGATGTTAGTGATTCTGGAAGTAAGATACTTGTTAATGAAGAACAACCACTGAATGCTTTTTCTCCTATTGATGTCAGATGATTGCATTTAGAAATATCAATATTTTGGATTTTTTCACATTGGTAAAATGCGTATTTTTGAATGCTTTGTAGTTGTGAATTTTCTTCAAAAGAAAATGACCGAAGAGTGGATTTACATGCAACGAATGCATAGGAATCTGATGATTCACCTCTAATATATTTTGTTTGAGATTTGATGACAAAATTTGTAAGTTCTGATGGAGCAAGAAGAAGTGTCCCTAAATCAAGTGAATATTTAACTTTGCTTACAGGATCTTCATAATAAGTCATTTAATTGATCAACTTTTCAAATCATTTTTATAAAAAAAATTGAGGGCACATTCAATTTACAACCAAATGCTATTTTCTTTAATATTTATGCAATGTTTCACTCACCTCATTTCGTTTTAATCTCTGGCTTTTGATAAGAATGTCTTTAATCACATTCTGCCCATATTATAGTATGATTAAATACAATTTATATTTTCAGTTTATTCTGTATAAAGAGTGATTACACCATTTCTAGCCTGATAAAAGGACTCATATTTAGGGTATAGATAGAATCTATACCCTAAATGGAATCATTAACTTTACTTCAAGTATAATAAAACGATGGTTTGCATCATTGCAGGAATATTTTTAATGATAGACGTTGAGAAAAAGCAGTATTACTAGAATAGGCTAAAGATACATACTTGCAGTATAGATATCCTTTCAAACAAATGTCCTTTGTAAAGAAATATAGGCTTTTGAATCAAAAATATGAGGTGAACTTGTGCAATCAATTGATTTGAGTGATGAATCAAAAATTGAGTTAAACTCCTTTTTACCTATCAATTATAAGTAAGGTTAGAAGGGAAGTGAAAAATTTGAATGTAATAAATCACTTCACAAACCTATTCACGTGAGATGATGTCAATCCGATCAAGTAATCTATCCAAATGCCAACCTTAATATTAAGCTTTTTATGATTAACTCTTCAATTTGTAAAAATGGATCTTTGCATATAAGATATTCTAATCTAAACGCTTCTCGAATGAGACTAAAAATTGTAAGGTATTTTTTAAAAACTGACATAAATACTATTTGTATTTATTTTATTTTTGCATTTCATCAACATCTAAAATTACTAAATTCCATTAGCTTAATTCATCTTAGCACCTACTAGTTTTAAGATAAATGGAACAGTCATTAGATAAAGAACTAATTTTAAATGCAACCAACCTCAATGCGAAAGAAACAACAGAAAATGTCATGATACTAGGTTTGGATGAAGATGCAAACTTAGATTCAGCGCAAATTTTCTTCGAAGAAGAATTTACTATCTGCAATATTCATAATTTTATACAAGAATTATTACAAAATACGAATAATTATACAATATACCTTACAGATTTTCAAACAGAACAATTATTTGATTGGCTTGCTGAAAATGATCTTGATCAAGAAAATAATCTTATCATTTTAAAGCTATTAGAATTATACACAATGCATTTTTGCACAAACAAGTCTTTTGATTTTCCTGATGATGCTCTTTCCATATTGTTACCATATAAATTCACTATATCTGCTCTTAATATTTTTTCAGAAATGATCAATAGAAAACATGATACTGTAAATACTCTTGATAGATTACTTAGCAAAGGAATTTTTAGTACAATAAATTCAATTTTAGAATTTCCAAATGATTTATGTGATTCAGCATTACACCTTCTAGCTACAATTTATTCAACTGCGTTTGATGCAATTAACATTGATTTGCCATTCAATTCAATAATGACAAATAAAATATATTTGGATTTTCCATCAAATTCATTCTTAGTTTTAAAAGCTTATATTGGAAAATCTCAGGGGAATGCATTAAAATTCACAGAATTTAATGCAACAGATATTTTTTCTAATATTGTTCAATTTCCAGAATCAGTATTTATTGCTGTTCAATTTTTTAATGAATTAGTTTGCCAGATTGATGATTTAAATAATTTATTGGACGATTATAATGTAGCTATATTTTTTAATTGGATAATTGAAAATTCATCAAAAACAAATAATTTATTTTCAAAATCAGTACCATACATCGAAAACATTTTATATAATCATTTCGTTTGTCATTCTTATGAAGCAGTATCATATATCGTTGATTGGCTAATTTCGAATAATTTGTATCAAATTATTTTTGATATTCTATCGTCATGTTCTTCCGAGTGCCATAATAGTTATATTAAAATGCTATGCTATATGCTGATATATTCAACTCCAGGCCAAATTAATTATTTAATAAATCAAAATCCACTATTAATAATACTTGGAGAAGAAGTTTCAGCAACATGCAATAGGGAGATCATAAATATGATTTCTCAAGCATTTGGAACTATTGCAAAATACCTTCGTATTCAAATTCAAGGCCCTCAGAAAATTGAGAATATCAAGAAAAAAATTGACAAGGATTTTACCAATTTATTGGCAAACTACGATATACAATTGAATTCCACTTGTCTCAATCATCCGTTGATCAACATGCCACCAGGCCTTAGAGAAGAATTAATCGAAATTTTAGATCCTGATGATGAATTCGGATGCTTACAAAAGTTTATAGATGATATAGATACTCTAATGTTTGATAGCTAATTAATTAAACAAAAGATTTTTAATGCAAAAATAATATGAAATTTCATAAATCATATGTAATACTCAAAAGGTATTCATATGTTTATTCTTCTCATTTGATTAAAGTAACCATCCTTCAAAATATTAAGTGATTCTTTTTTGACTAGTGAATTTTTTACTTCAACTTCAAATTATCACAAAAATATGTTTGGAAGGATATATACCACTGTCTATATTTTACGAAAAAAATTAAAAAATCGGTAGTTTGCTTTTTGACATGATTTCATTTCATTTATTTTTTCAAATTGAATTGAAAAAAATTGAAAAGAGTCTACCTAAAACATTATGAACGAAGCAGAGAAAGAGGTGGAGCTCCTTGAGAGAATGAAGGCAGTACGATTTGATCCAGATAATTGCGATGGCTATAAATGGATCATTGTCAATTTACAAAAACAACCAAATTTTTCTGAATTAAAGAGTTTCTGCACATCATTATCAAAGCTTTTACACATACCGATTTACAGAGAATATTATCGTCGAAAAAAATCTTGCGTGTTTTGGGTCAACGAAAATCTTGATCAAATAAATACATTTGTCAAGAATAATAGAGTCGAATTCCAAGTACTTGAAGATCAACACAAAAAAAGCAAGTACTTGCAAATCAAACCACTCGATTACTTTATTTAATTGTCGCTTTATATTTTATGATGTATATATCATAATAATTGTAAATATGAGTTTTTTTATTTATTTAAATTGTGATATTATATTTTTCAATTTTTCTTTAAAAAACATAGTCATTGATTAAATTGTTGAAATGGAAACGAACTAATGGTGAATTGTAAATGAAAAATTTGAATATTAAAAATAATATTAATAATTTACGATTTTACCCATCATAGAAACTTTTTTAAAAAAGTTGGTGTTTGGGACTTGAATTCAGAACTTAAAAAGTGGCAAATTACTTTGAGTTTGATCTTTTTATTTTACAACGTCCGCCAAAATTTTATTTATAAATTTTTCTATATAAAGAATGGAAATAATAAAATCTTTATTAACAATATAAAATATACAAATAAAATAAAAGGAAATTAGTCAATTCATTGGTGAACATTTACAATGTTCATTAGAGAAATCTCTCCTTGCATAGTTCCTCTGATCAATCTGCATGAAGATTTATCATAATTTAACGTTGTTGCTTCGCACATGAATAATGCGCATTGTTTTCCATTTGCCATGTTATAAACAATGATTCCTGTTCCTCTAACACTCAATGCAACATAAGAATTTCCATCTGGTGAAGAGAAAACTACGAAAGCATCAACTTGGTTTGAAAGATCAATAACTTTTGGCCAAAGTAAGTTTTGGTCGAAGAATATAATCTTATAAACTTCGTTGAAGTAAACAATTGCAGATGATCCAGAATCACTCATTCCTGCGAAGAGAGGAACACCATCGATGTAGAAAGAATGAGTATCTTTTTCTCTTGACAAAGAAAGAAGAATAATTGTGCCATCAATTGAAGCAGAAATGAGTTGATCAGCATTGGAAGAGAAAGCAACACATCTTACTGGAGCTCTATGCTTAGTAAATGTGAAAATTCTGCTCTTGTGTTTGATGACAACTGTTGCATCTTGTGCGGAAGAAATGACTAAATGTTTATCAGCAGTTATACATGTTACAGGCATTGTATGGTATTTCTTTGTCTGTATGATCTTTCCTGTCTTGATGTCAGCAGTGTTGATGTGCGGACTCCATGTGAATCCGAAGATGATCTTGTATTCAAGGATTGTTACTAATTGCGACTGCAAACTGATATCAATGAAATCAGGAAGAACTCGTGATGGGAAGTTGTATTTCGAGAATCCTTTCGTGTTGATATCAAAGCAGGAAACATTCATCATTGAGTCGACAGAAATCAATGAATTTCCAATGGCTCCAACAGCGACTAATGGATAATTAGAGAGTTTGTAATTCTCGTAGAAATTGTCGAGTGGGAAGGAGCGAATTGGTTGAACTTTCTGTCTGTGAGGCTCAAAGAAGAGTTGATATCCGGAAGATCCGAAACAAGCAGCGTATTCACGAGCGAAACTGAGAAGTGTTGGGTTCTTCATGACTTCAGGAGTGATTGATGTATCATAGAAGTTCTTGCAGAAAACGTTTTTGGCTTTAATTGCACCCTGTCCTCTTGAAGTGATTCCGAAGATTAAATCGATCCATCTTGGAAGCATTTCACTGACAATCGGGGATTCTAATGCTGCTGCGTTCTTCACAATGAAGTCTTGTGCATCTGTAGCCCATGGTGGTAAAGCGACATCTCCTGTTGCAGAAACTTTTCCAAGATCAAAACCGTTGTCGTTATTCAAGAAATCAGGGAAATAGAAGAATTCAGGGATAAGTTCTCTGAAGTCCATTGATACTTTGTTGCAGCACTCCCATGCGTTGGCAATGCCATTGAACAATCTGTCGGCAATATCGAATTTGCCGCTCTGTAATTCAATGTGAAGTGAAGTAAATGGTTCAATTCTAATTAAGTAACCAATTACAACAGCTGCAGAAGAGTAAAATGCACCGTAAAGGAACTGATCATCCTGGGAGAATGAATCATCAAGTCTTTCTTCGAGTATTGCGAGTCTTTCTTGGTTGATTGCGCCGATTGGTTTCGACAAATCTCTGTAGGAATTGCGATCATTCAAGTCGAGTTTTGATGATTTGTAATCTTGAATAATCCATGGGAAAACAGGATATTTGGACAAATCGTTGTAAGAACGACCAGAAAAGATGTTTAATTTCATCAGATAATCGAAATTACTCATCTTGTTGTTTCTCCATTTGTTCTTTGCCTTTTCAACCAACACTTTGATGTCTTCTTTCTTCCTTTGGATGAATTTCGCTTTCGTGCAAAGAGGAGCCAAAATATTCAAAACTTTTTCTCTTTGTCCGATGCTGAAATCGATGTACATCGAAGATTTCGTTGAGAATATTTCGATGGCAGTTTCAAGAAGGAGATACTGTCTTAAGAAGATGTATCTGATTTCGACATTTCCTGTTTTGAGGACTTTTTCTCCATCTTTCACTTCGAAAACAGTCAAATTCTTGTAAATGATCAAATGGCCGGAATAAACCTTTCTCATTCTGATCAATTTGGCTTCGATCTTGAAGAGTTGCTTCATGTCATTTTCATCTCTTTCGAAGATGATTGAATCTTCAGGGATGATTGAAACACCGGAGTTATCAGAGAAGGATGTAAGACGCATCTCAGCCATGTGTTTCTTGTATTGTTCAGCTGCATCCAAAGGATTTCCTAAATCACGTAAAAGTGAAGCGTTTTTATGGTCATCGAAATTGTAGTTCATAACTAATCTTCCTCTTCTTCCTTTACGTGACATGAAGTTTGAAATCTTCCAATGTACACTTGAATCGTTCTCTGTGGACTTCCAAATACCATTTCCGTAGCCCAAAGAGTGCCACAATCTCGTGTAAATTGAAAGACCTCTCATGTTATCATTCTTTACTTCATCTGCAATATATAACAGTTTTGATTTGACTTGTTCTGTTCCTGGGTCTTGTCTTGCATTTGGATCTGGATGGATGTGTTTGAATATCACTGAATACTTCTGGTTTGACTTGAGTCCTCTTTCGTAGTATTCATTGATATTCTGTTTCAATTTTGCGGCCGTTGAATCAATTCCTTGTTCTGTTTTACATAATTCCATGAGAATTTCATGAGAGAAATTGTGTCCTGTTGATTTGTAAGCTGATTCAAAGCTTTGTAATGATGATCCCCATTTCGTTGATTCCTTGAACGCGAAGTGAATCAACTTATGGAAAGCTTGTGAATCCTCTTGCAAATAGAGATGTGATGGATGTCCATTTTCTGTTGCATTGTAGCATTTGATCAATCCTGACATGTAACAGACCAAAACACTTAAATCATTGTCACTGTGTCCGCTGATGAACTTAGTAACATCTCGAATATATCTCATGAAATTCGAAAATGTGTTTGGATGTGCCAAACATCTTCCCAAAATGAAAGACATCATTGTTCTTTGTTCATTATTTAATGACAAAGATCTCATCTTGCTCAAACAAAGTTCAGCCAATTCATTGTCTAACCACTCTCCGTTTTGTTTGCTTCTGATTGAGTAGCAGAAATTGATTTGTATTGGATTTGTTGACAAATAAAAGTGGACACAATCTGAGTACTGAACTTTCTTGAAATACTCAGTTTGTTGGTCATTGAAACAAGGCAAATAATGTGAAGATGTTGAAGGAATCATGAACAGGTAATACCAGACAGCTGAGAAGAACTCATCGACCAATGTTTTCGTTGATTTGTCATTGATGTAATTTGTGACAAATTTTGTCAAAATTATTTTCATCAAAAATGAATAATCGATATTTGTCTTGTAGCTCAAATTGATCAATGTATAATTGATCTCTTTGAACATGTTGATATCAATAACAGTAACTTTCATGTTCTGCATGTAAATAAACAACAAAACATCGATCAAAAATTGGGAAGATTCATCCAAATTTCCTGATTTGTCTCTCAATCTCGTGACAATGAAGAAAATGAATGTGTAGATCCAATGATTCTTTTTAAGGATCATTTGGTACTGGTTTTGGATTGCTGTGTACAATGCTTTGATGTAAATAAAACATTTGGCGTCTTCGAACTCAGAAATGACTAATAAAGCAAGAGGAAGTAAGAATTCGTATTGAATGTTATAATTCCTTGTTTCTCCTTGTGAAACTCTGATTGGTGGCATGTTTGTGAACTGTTTATTATCAAATAAACCGAACAGATATCCCCAAACAATGTCAGCAAATGTTTCATCGTTATTCATCATGTTAAATGAGCAACAAATTGCTTTCGTCCATTGAGAGAAAGAGAAAGGAGGAAGGAATTGGTTCTTGAGCTCTTTATCAAATAATGCGGATCTCATGACAATGTGGAATGCTAAAATTCTGATTTCTTGGTCAGGTGAAGTGAACAAAGGATAAAATGTTTGGAATTTGAAGTTAGTTCTTGTTGCTGGCAAAATGAAATCAATTTTTTCATTCATTAAATTCATCAATGTTGTCAAATACAATTTAGACAATTCTAAATCGTGTTTATCCAAGCAAAGATAAATCAATGTTGTTGTATCTCCCAAAGTAAATCTTGCTTTGGCTAATTTGTCTCCAAATTGCATCAAAACTTCTCTGATTTCTTTCATAATCGAACAATCTCTTTCTGCTTCAACTTCTTTAGTAATTGGATCAACTTTTGGATCATGAAGAAGGTTGTATTCTTTGTCACAATATGTTGACCAGTAACAGACCTTTACGTAACAAAGAACACGTGAATAAGGAATGTTTTGTGCGAACCAAACTTTCCTTTTTATTGAGACCGCGTCGAAGATTTCATCAATTGTTTTGTAAACAAATAATTGCAGATTTAAAGGTAAATAAATCCACAATCTCGGATTGAACCAAATGTGTTGCAACATCTGTCTTCCAAGACCAACAATCATCAGGACTTGGAAGATTTCTTTGAGCTTGATAATGACTTCTTCAGTTATATGTTGCAATTTGGATTTCGCAATCAAATAACTGAGAATTCTGAATCCTTCGTAATCCATGAAGTTTTCTTGGTTCTTCGCTGTTTTGGCCAAAACGGATTTGATTAATGTCAAAAGAACTGGTAGGAATTCGGGGTCTATTGTATACTCAACTGGCATGTTTTCGTCTGGTATCAATGGCATGTCCAATTGTGCAAAAAGTGGCAAGAAAATTGAGGGACCACCGATTAAAGAAAGAGCGGCTTTCGGTTTTGACGGGAAAGAAAATGTCTGGCAATCGAGTTTCAGCATTCTTCCTGTTACAGGCAAAGGAGCCATGTTGACTGCGTATGAGTTATTGATAATTAATGACGCGTTGTATGAGAAAATCGCGTTATCATTGAGTTTTCCTGTGAACAATGGTCCGAAATTGTTGTCGTAGTCATCTTGTTCGGCAGGAGAGAAGGAACAAGGAACTAATGGGAATTTGTACATCAATGCAATCTCTTCGTCAGTCAAAGAACAAGAGAATAATGAGAATGATCCGAAATCAGCAATCAAAAGTGATCCAAAGCCGGATTTAACAATTTGTCCTTCTAAAAATACATTTTTGGCCATTAAAAGTTCTTTCTTTTCGCCTCTAATGTATAATGAGAAGACACCTTGTTTATAAACAATGGCAAGTTTGAACCATTGGCCTTTGCTGAACTCGAAATTGAACGCGCCACGAATTGTCGAGCCATCGTTGTCTTTCATCGTAATTGAGATCTGTTTGTCACCGTAATCGAAGGAAATAATGACGCTGTTGGTGCATGTCAATCTCAATATGTTGCCAATCGCTCCTCTGAACTTAACTTCGCATGTATATGAAAATTCTGTCACTTTTTTAGTTAATGTAACATCTGGCAATGCCATGGCGTTTCCGTAGAGCTTGAACAATGATGTAGGTACAAGATTCGTGTTCTCAAATATGTTGTGGAGTGTATTTAAGATCTGGATTGAGAATTTTGGCCGGAAATTTCCTGGCAAAGGTGTTAAAACTTGAATAAGTGACAAGAGATCAGAAGATGTGAGCGATTTCTGACCCATATATGAGATAAAGTTGCAAAGGGAGTCGAAGAATTCGTCAGTTTTGTCCTTATGACGATATTCAGCGATTGTTGCTATAGCTTTCGTTGGCAAAAGGGAGGAATTGATCTCTATGGTTGTTTTCTCGGATGCTCGGCAGCAAACCATGATTCTTTCGATAAATAATAATTTCATCTTCGGGCCAAAGATGTCGTAAAGGACTGGAAGTGATGAAATGCAGTTCTTGAAGTTATTCTGGAACAAATCGTCTCCGATTTTATCGGCATCTTCCTCGGAAATGGCCTTAGAAAGGAGATGGAACATTGGAGCCGTAGATTCGCTGGAGCAAGTATTGAAGAGCTTGAAAATAAGTGGTATATTCTCTGGATGTCTGCTCACTACGTTGATTGATTCTTGGATAAACTGAGTTTGAGTCAATAATGAAGATAATTCAATAGAATTCTCAGGATAAATATTAATAAAGAGGTCCAAAATGAATGTAACCAAATACTGCTCTTGGTTCTGAAGGACTTCAACGAAGTAATCGAAGATTAGGAACATTACCGGATCAGATTTTTTCAGTTTAGAAAGAGCTGTAACGAGAACAGTCGCAGAATATTCAAACAATTCAAGTACATATGATATTTTGATAATCGCTGAGATAAAATCAACAGAATGAATAAATGTAAGCGTAAGTCTTGGAGATGAGAAGAAAGCATTGATTAAATCAATAAGGTTTGAAAGATTTTCGAAGACATATTGCTTCATTTCATCAGAATTTTCAACATAAAAGCAAGATACGTAATTTATCAAGATTTGGCCAGTGATTCTTGTAGCTTGGAGTGATTCAAATGCATAATCGAAGTATTCGTTATCAGCGTTCATTGCAATTTGTACGATTTCGACTATATTTGATGATAACATAAAATCTTGAGCGGCAACAATATAAACTTCTAATGCAGCGAGGTATAATTCGATGCAAGTAGTATTAAGTGTGAGTTGTTTTTGTAAATACATCAAAGAAAAGTTAATTAAGTTCTGATCATTGTAAAAGAGGAAAGCAATTTCAAAAATGGAAGCTAAAATAGGATGAACAGCTTCCATATTATCCTTAGTGATAGTAATCATATAAAGCATCTTTGAACAGAATATGGCAACTGTTAAGGTATTACTCGTAACAAGCATTCTTGCGATCATTTCGAGTGATTTGGATGATTTGTCGTGGAAACTGCCGCAGATTGCCACAATAGAATGGAATAAAATACTGATTAATTTCACTCCAAATTTTCCTGGTCTTTCATTAGGCCTTGGAGAGGGTTTTGGCTGGTGAGGGTCGTATTGAAAAGACTTTGGAAGACCAACTTTCGTCATTTGCTTAGTGATTTCTCCAAGATATGGCCGAACTTGGTTAATCATTGGAGGATTTTGCAATGTAATGGATATCATGTCACATAAAAAGCTTGAAATAATATCCATGTTATCGGTATCTAGTACAAAATCAACAATATCTCCATGTTTTTCTGTAACAAGGGAAACGAGTAAGAAAATTGCGGATTTTGTTTCATAACTAAGTTGTGTTGAGAGTAATGATATTAAGTGAGCAACAAAAGCCATGTAGTTGAATTCAATTTCGAAATTATTGCGGATTGTTATTGTAATGCTTTTAATGACATCTTGGATCACTAAATCCGTGCCTACTTCTCCGTCAAAACAAAAGAATGCGTTGTAAAGGAATTCAACGATCTTCTTTCGCATCGCAATCTCAGTTTTGTCTTTTATGAATAAAGCTGTATTAACGATGTATTCAATATCGGGCTGGAGAAGTTTAGAGTCACGGAGACGTGGTGTAATAACAAATAATGCATAGTTGATAGACCCGATGATCATATCGTGAAGATCTGGACGATTTTCAACAGCTGGAAGTAATATTTCGAATGTAGATGCTATATCATTGTAAAAGCGAATGGAATCGAACTGAATAAGCTGAGATGCATAGTAAGAAACAGAATATAATTTTCTAATGGTAAGGATTACATCATCTGGCTCGAAAACCTCATCGATAAGATCTATAAAGCCAAACAATATTGAAATAAAATCAAATTGTTGATCAATCTTCACGTCTTCGAGAAGACTCTCAACAAATTTTTGATTGTATGTAAGATATGGTTTATCTGTTTCAGTGATGAAACAGAAAGCCGTGATGCAGTTGCTGACATAATTCCCGTCTTCTTCACTTGCACGTTTCGGGAAAAATATCGGTACAAACTCCATCTTTTGTCAAATTTTAGTATAAAAATATTAGTATTGAAAATAATATTTTTTTCAATAAGAAAAGTGTCGAAGTGCCCCATTGTTTTAGCTTTTTTTTATGGATTGCTGAAATATTTATGCCTTTATTTTGAGTTATAGCCACTGGATACACATTAATCACAGTCACTGCATTCCCAATACATAAAAATATCTATTGTCTGCCTGTAAATTCAAAAAAATTAGAAAAGGTTCCAAAATTTTATGGGCAAATCAGTAATTATCATTTGCTTTGGTCCATATATTATCAAAATGGTGAAATTATTAATAACCATCAAAGCATTAATTTTAGCAAAATTCTGAAATTAAGTTTAAAATTACTCAGATTCAAATCGGATGCGGATAGATATGCATTCTTATTACGCTATTCCTTAGTTCCATTAAATATTTCCTTTTATTTATCCTACTAACGCTTGAATTGCATCCCATTTGAGAAATAAATCGATTCTATGTATAATATGCTTCTGGAAAAATTTCTTGATGGTCCAAATGGAATATATCAATGAAACCAATGGCAAATTCATAGCTTAAAGTTTGACTATCAGAGAACATGTATAATTTTAACGTTACAAGTACGAATTTCTTTAATTGAATTGATTATAGAATCAATGTCTCAATAACCATAAAATGAGGATAAAATTTTCATCCCATCATTATATATTATATATTACTTGATTTTAGATCGACATAAATTCACACTTGAAATATAGAAATTTTTTATTAAGCAGATAAAGTTTAATTTGCAGAGTAGAATGATAGTGCTTACCATTCTAATTTCACTTCCTTTGGCACTACACCAATTAAATGAACTCGTACGTTAATTTATTTTCACTAGTAATTTTACTGATGTTGACTCATGGATAAAGTACCTACTTGGTTGAATAGAAATTGGCCATGAAATAAAGATTTTTTATATAAATTCTAAACATCCTCAAATTAAATTTCTAAACGTACACGAAAAATTCTGAAATTATTTTCGATTATGTCGAAATCTAAAGTTGTTTGCCCGCAAACGCTGGTAAACATTGTTGATGGAGTTACACATATCTATACCCGCCACGAAGAACTCGGTCATGGTGGCTTCGCTACTGTATTCCGTGTTACTGATCAAGCGAACGGTGAAGATTATGCAATGAAGGTTGTTCCCAAAGCCAGAGTATCAAAGCCAAAGTCATTAGAAAAGATGAAGAGTGAGATTAAGATCCAATCTTCACTTAATCATGTAAACGTAGTCAAAGCTTACGGTTCATTTGAAGATGAAATCAATTACTACATAATAATTGAGTTATGCCCAGGCCACTCAATAAGAGATATCATCAAAAAAGAAGGATTCCTTAAAGAGGATGTTGTTGTTCAATATACTCGTGATGTTCTTGAAGGTTTGTCATATCTTCATGATAATCGTATTATCCATCGTGATCTCAAAATCGAGAACTTCTTATTTGGATCCGATGGAAAGATCAAAATTGCTGATTTCGGATTGAGTGCCCAGCTTGATTACGATAATGAAAAGAAGTTCACTGTATGCGGGACTCCAAACTACATCAGTCCAGAACTTTTAACGCAAGCATTCAAAGGCCATAGTTACGAAGTTGACATTTGGGCAATTGGAGTATGCGTATTTGCTATGCTCTATGGAACCCCTCCATTTGAAACAGCAAAGACAAAGGAAACATATGAGCAAATCAAGCATTGCCAATACAAATTCCCATGTTATCCAATTGTGAGTGATGAAGCCAAAGATTTTATTCAAAGTACACTTAAGCTTGATCCTAAGGAACGTCCAAACTGCCAGGAACTTCTTGCTCACCCATTCATTACTGGAGAAAAGTTATTAGTTAAGAAGGAGGAAAAGCCAATGCCTCGTCCAGAAATCGTCAAAGAAGAAAATATTGATATTAATGCTCGTATTCCAAAGTCTCCAGCAGCATCTCCATCTCCATACTCAACAATGCCAAACCAATTTGTTTCCAGGTTCTGCGACCATTCCGCAAAATATGGTCTCGGATATCTTTTAATAGATGGTTCAGTTGGTGCATGCTTTAATGATTTGAGCCGTATGATAATGGATCCATATCAAGAATTCATTCAGTATTGGCCAGATTATTCCACAGAAATACCAGAAGTTCTTTCCATTAATGATCCAAAACAAGCCAAAAAGACAACAATTTTGCAGAAGTTTTCTGATTCTCTCAGAAAATCCAGTACAATGTTCACACTTCCTGAAGAGAAGTATGATAGGACAAAGCCAATGCATCACGTCAAATACTGGATTAGGAATGATGACGCTACATTATTTAGACTTGACAACAGAAACGTTCAAGTTAACTTTACAGATAGAACAAAAGTTGCTTTATTCTGGAACATAAAGAAGTTAATGATTGTTCATTCCATCAAAGAGTCAGGAAGGCTTGTCAACCTTCATGATCTTAATGATGGAAGCCATTCAGAAGAAAAGAAGCGTTTCGCCGTTGTTAAGCACCTTTTGACTGAATTAAGTTCCCAGTAATTGTTCTTTTTATTGTATTAAACAATTTTTATTCAATAAATTTATTTTTAATGAAATGTCTTTCAGATATTATAATAAAATGTTTAGATAAGAAGCCTAAATTCAATATTACAAGCTTCAGCTATGTGTTAAAAAAGTCTCAATATATTTTTTTTCAATTTATGGCAAAACTTTTGTTGGAAGTTATAATATTCCGATATTTTGAATATCTTAACAAAAAGACAGTAATTTATTTGCCAAATTGAAGAAATAATTGAGCTCAGGAAATATATGTTTGAGTTATAGTATAATTAATTTGTTTGTATAGTTACCTCTAAAGAAACTTTATTAATAATGATATTATTCATCTTTCTTGGCCTTCTTTTTCATTTCTCTCTCCAATGCTTTATTCTTTGTTTTCTCTATCTTTTCCTTCTTTCTCTCTAAGCGTGCCTGGCGTTTTTCAACTCTTCTTTGTTCAGCTAAAAGCTTCTTTTTGCCTCTTTCAGCATCCTTCTTCAAAGAAACTTCGTTTTTCTGTACGTTGCTTTGGTAAGCTTGTGAGGCAATAGCAATTAGCATGTTTTTGTCTGTGTAAGTCTTTTCTTCTTTGGTGGCGCCAACGCGAAGATTCTTTTTATGCTTTTTTTGTTTTGGAGCTGGTTGCTCTTCCTCTACCTCCTTCTTTTCTTCTGGTTTTTCATCTTGTGGTTCCTCTTGGACGGCTTCTTGCTCGTCAGACATTATCCAAGACTTTGTCACTTTTCAAGTACAAAAAATCTTTGTCACGTTTTTGTTTTTAAAGTTGTAAAAAAGGCTATCCTGGGGATTCGAACCCCAAACCCTTGGATTAAAATTCCAAAGCTCTACCTGTTGAGCTAGGAAAGCTTCATATTTTTTTCTATGCATTAGTATTTATAATATATTTGAAGTACTTTTTGTTATCGTTGTTTTCGGATCCAATTTTTTTATTTTATTTTTTTTTTCGGAAACATGCCGAAATCTAAAAGATCAGTAAATGCAACTGAATGCGATTTTAACGACATGAAGCCAATTGAGGTCTTCAAATACCCTAGTCAAACTTCCAAAATTATTTGCGATGTCAATACCAATAATCTTTTACAAATATCTTCACAAATTATAGACCTTGTTAAAACCAACAAAGTTACTATCCAAATGGTACTTTACTTGATTGATGCTTTTTCACAAATTCGTGTTAAAGAAGTTAAATTATTTACAGAACTTTATTTAAAGTTATCAAACGAATTTTCATGTATCATACAACCGAGAAATGAGAAATTAGCAGCGCTGTTACATTATCAAGGTTTAAAATTTGAAAACTTCGAACCGAAAAAGAAAGAAGAAGAAATCCTGAATATATATTCAACAGAATCTCCTTTATACTATATTGTATGTGATAAAGTTGATGATCTTAAGAGTAAATTCCCAGACCTTGATCTTAAACAGATGTATGCAAAGGAACTTACTTCGTTTGATTGTGCAATTAAATATGGCTCAGAGTTGTGTTTCAATTACTTGAAAAATTTAGGAGCTAAATACACTGATTACTCCGTAAAATATGCTGTTCAAGGCGGAAATCAAAACATTTTTATGCAAATGATTGAAGATGGTAAATCATTTCATAACATGATTAATACAGCATTGATTTATCGACACTATGAAATTGCTGAGTACCTTAAAACAAATTTTGAACAAACTCCCAGTTTAACAAAAATAACAAAAAGTATGTATTTCGGCAATTATGATGTTGTATCATATTTAATTTCTAATGGCGCAGATATCAACGAACTTTACATTTTTCTACATGTTATATTTATCAATGCTTTATATTATTTACTTTCTTCTCAAATCTATCAATGTTTTATGCTATTCTGTTTCTTCTCATATTTTACCTTACTTTATCGTATTTAATTTCTTATTACATATATCATCATTTTAACGTATTCTCTTACGTTTCATATTAATCTTTGTTTTATTACATTCCCTTTCTTTTCATATTAATCTTTGTTTTATTACACTCTCTCTATATTAGTGAATGTCCTCTTAGTATTGCAATCAAAACAAATTCAACAGAAATTGTCAAATTCTTAGTTGATCATGGTGCTGATGTTAACATAGATATTATTTACTTTATTTTCATATTAATCTTAGCTTTATGGCATTGTCTTTCTTTTCATATTTTTCATTGCTTAATAAAATTCTTTTTATTTTCATATTTATCACTGTTTTCTGAGATTCTATTTCTTTTGATGTTTAATATTGTTTTATGATGTTACCTCTTTTTATATCTTTCGTAACTTTATGATATTCTCTTTCTTTTTCATATTAACCAATGTTTTATCACATTCTCTTTCATTTCATATTAATCTTAACTTTATCGTATTCTCTTTCTTTTCATATTTCTTATTGTTTTATAATGTTCTCTTTCTTTTAATACTCATTATTGTTTTATATAATTCTATTCCTTTCCATATTTTCATTGTTTTATTACATTCTCTTTCTTATCATTTTTATCATTTGTATATAAAATTCTCTCTATATTAATGAAACCCCTCTTAGTCTTGCAATCGAAATGAAATCAATCGAGATTGTCAAATTCTTAGTTGAACATGGTGCTGATGTTAACATGAGACTTATTTTCTTTCTTTTCATATCTATTATTACTTTATCAAATTCTTTTTTATTATCATATCTCTCATTGCTTTATGAAATTCTCATTCTTTTCATATTTATCATTGATTTATGTCATCATCTTTCTTTTCATATTTATCATTGACTTTTTTTATTCTCTTTATTTTCATATCTATCATTGCTTTATGAAATTCTCTTTCTTTTTATATTTAATATTGTTTTATGACGTTTTCTTTCCTTACATGTTTGTTATTGTTTTATGACATTCCTTTTGCTTTTCATATTTAATATTGTTTTATTACATTCTTTTGCTTTTCATATTTAATATTGTTTTATGACATTCCTTTTCTTTTCATATTTAATACTTTATTATGACATTCTTTTGCTTTTCATATTTAATATTGTTTTATGACATCCTCTTTCTTTTCATATTTATCACTGTTTTCTGAGATTCTATTTCTTTTGATGTTTAATATTGTTTTATGGTGTTACCTGTCTTTTGTCTTTTGTATCTTTTATATCTTTCGTAACTTTATGATATTCTCTTTCTTTTTCATATTAACCAATGTTTTATCACATTCTCTTTCATTTCATATTAATCTTAACTTTATCGTATTCTCTTTCTTTTCATATTTCTTATTGTTTTATAATGTTCTCTTTCTTTTAATACTCATTATTGTTTTATATAATTCTATTCCTTTCCATATTTTTCATTGTTTTATTACATTCTCTTTCTTATCATTTTTATCATTTGTATATAAAATTCTCTCTATATTAATGAAACCCCTCTTAGTCTTGCAATCGAAATGAAATCAATCGAGATTGTCAAATTCTTAGTTGAACATGGTGCTGATGTTAACATGAGACTTATTTTCTTTCTTTTTCTTTTTATGTTTATCAATGTTTTATCGCATACTCTATCTTTTCATATTTATCATTGCTTTTTAACATTCTCATACTTTTAATATAAACCCTATTGATATTGCAATCAAAGAGAATGCAATGGATATTGCCAAATTCTTAAGAGAACATGGGGCTAAGTGATAAATATTTTTTTAAGCACTATTTAAGAATAAACAAATTACTTATTACAAAAATTATCAATCAATCACAACAGTAACTCTTCAAAAAAATTCTTTAACTCCATTCAAATATGATTGGCACCACTTACAATGTTTACTGTCTATTGCTCCAAAACCGAAGACGCATAGATCTCGCGACACAGGAAAATTACTATTATTACAGACATAACAAGAATATCATGTTTCTTTTTGTCCGATTGAGTTGAATATAGATCTATATTGTGAATATAAAAACTGCTCAACAATGTTGGATAAACCATGCACACAAATCAGAGAAATAGGCAAATTCCCATTTTTGGTTAAATATTGGTTTCTAGAAAGTCATCTCAAGATAAAGGATCCAAGAAATCAGATGGAGTTCTCGCATAAGGATTTTCCAGAGATAGACAAGGTGCTGGAGTAGTATGTTCTTGGACATTCTCAGCCAGTGCAGTCATCCCATTTTCTTCAACTAGAACTAAAGTTATCCAAACATCTTTAGCTTGGATGATGGCAATGATGTTAAAATATATCCAGATGTCTGGCGATGTAATGGCCAACTTGTTGTCATTATTCTTGCTGCAGTGCTTTGCCTTTTTTGTAGAATGATTTACTGAATTTATTTTTCACACTAGCTTTTATCTGTTTTGGCTTTACAGGCAAATGTTAAATAAGAATGATTATAATATCTGATTGTTTCTACACAAAAATTAAAACATTATAAGAATGAATTTAATTTTTAGCTGGAAAATAATTTAAATTGAAAAAGATCGTTGAAATTGTATGTATAAGTCCTATTTTGAAGGTTTGTAAGAAAAAGATTTAGTAATCTTATAATCAAAAAATAAAAAAAATAAAAAACGCTATCCTGGGGACTCAAACCCCAAACCCTTGGATTAAAAGTTCAAAGCTCTATCCTGTTAAGCTAGGAAAGCTTTACATTTACCATTTATTTTAATACTACGTAATATTAGATTTTCAGCATCAAAAATTGATTATCAACTGTGTCTAATCCAATATGAGAATCAGCAATGAATTGATCGTAACATAGATCATAATACTAGAAAACAAGTCCAATTGATCAATGATGGTTAATGCTTATGCATTTCAATATTCTTATTTGCATTGATTTCAATGACCAAATTAATATAAATATAAATTTCCTTTAAGAACTTGTATAGATTCCTTTTCTCTATCATTATCAACTGACGATTTGAACTAAACAACTATAACTCTTTTTATTTTCTGAGTTTTGATTTGCGGTTTTTATATTCAAAAATAAGTGCACCAGCTGAACCAGTAAAATGTGCATGCCCAATCTCATCAATCTTCACAAAGAAGCATCTTAAGAGTTATGCATGCACATTTGGTGCAAGATATTTTGCTGGAATTTGTGGCGAACTTTTCACACTGGCCCAGAATAAGAAGCTAAGCGCAACCAATATTTGTGCTCCACAATTCCGTGATCTGTGCACAATATCTGGTATTCAGCAAGTTGCTAAAGAAATTTCCAAGAATACAATTCTTCTCATTCCAGGTGCTACAGAATAGGCCAAGAAGCATCCATTCTTATTTGGTGCATCAACCGGTATCCCAATGTGGGGACTTACACGACTTTTTGGTGCTCCACTTCAGAATTCAAGGAAGAAAGATGCCAAACCATTCGATGGACTCAAGGAAACTTTTTTGGATCAGGCATGTTATCACACAGTCAAGAATGGTCTTGATCAAGTTTCAGCTGATATCATCAATCCTATGATTGTTCCAGAGGTACAAGGATTTTGGCCAAAGCGTGCTGTTGAAGGCATTGTCTCGGCAATAGTTGGATCAGGATGCTATGTTTTAACATGGCCATATAAATTAGTCTTATCTAAGCAAACACTTCCACAAGCTGTTGGTCTTTGCAATAAGAACTTTGGAAAGATATGGATTAAGAAGGTTACGTACACAGTTTCACGTCCACAGTTTGTTCACGCCCTTGCATAAATTCATTATTTATTTTATATGTGGCTATCGAGATATCTATCAACTTAATAAACATTCTTTATTATAATATAATGGTCAAACCTGCTTCTGACTAATATTTATGTTTTTCATAGAACTAATAATGTATTGAAGTCCATCTGACTATGATTCAAAATTCTGACAACATGTGTGTCATACTTCCGTAAGTTTATCCTTAATATATCATTCATATGAATCAAATATAAGCGCTAAATTTTCTGCACATAGACTTAATGTGTTCGTTACTATTAAATATATATATATTCATCCGACGTTCTTTCAGTAACATTGAAACAGAGGAAAACCTTGGAAAATTCAGATATGGAAATAAAAGAAATCAAAATCACGATGCAAGATGAAGAGGTTTAGACATTGGATGACATATAAAAATTGAGAAGAAGTATTATGGATAGTTTATAATGTTGCACAATATCAAGGAAATTGAATCCCGATATTTCAAAAAAAAAATGTCGCTGAATTCTACATATCTCTTATTTCCTGTGTATAATCAGCCGGAAGTTAATGATGTGTTCAATAGTAGCAATGTACCAATTCCAAACATTGAACCGCTCCCGCCATGTGGTTGTTTTTTAATCATGCCAAAAAATGCACAAGCGCCAAGAAACTTGCATAATGTGAGAGATCCTAATAAAAGGTATTTTGTAATACCAGTTAAATATGAGGAAAGAAATAACTATTTAAATATTATCAAACAAAAAATCGATCAATCACAAGACCAACATATCCTTGATTTATCCGAACTGAAGAGTCAAATACCCAATCTATATGCACCCAATGTTGGCTCATTTGTCTTATTTTTAGCCGCAAATTACTCAATTCAAAAAAATAATACCAATTTGGTACAGACTCTTAAGTTCTGTAACAATGGCATAAGAGATTCCAATATTGGCATGTTCAACCAGATTAAAGATATGTTTACTAGTTTACAAACGTTGGATTTATCTGGAAATTCCATTAACAAAAAGGTTACGATAAATGGTGTTAATGTAATTCAAGAAAACTCCAATTCTAATAACAATAATAATCAGAACCAAAACAATCAAAACCAAAGCGAACAAAATCAGAATTATACTGAAATTCCTGATGGTCCTTTCTATAGAGAACCAGTATATTTCAAACCATTACCTCCACCAGCACCTTTGACGATTAATCCGATTTCATCTGTCTTAGGAGCCGCAGATCACCTTACCCTTGATAACTTTGTGTCATGTTCTCTTGACCAAAACTCATTTCCTACTCATCCGTTCATTATTGAGTTTCTTGACAGATCATGGAACAATTTAAACAAAATTGGACTTATGTATGCAGAAGATTCCCAATTTACTTACTCCATCGGACCATATCTTGAAGGTTCCCCGCTTTCATTTTATGCAGATCACGCAAGAAACTTCTTGAAACCAGATTCTGTTGATAACATCGCACTCGGACCGGCCAACATCGTTATGTTACAAAACGAATTATTCGGAACAGGCTTTTACGCGCATCCAACCAGTATTTTTAGCACAGTTATCTCAGAATATCACGTATCAACGATGATTTCGGGTGGTTTTGCTGACAAAAGCGGACACGTCTTTAGATTTACAAGAACCATGGTAATTGGATTCTACCAAGATGGATTTAAAGTAGTTAATGATCATATTTATATCCAAAATCCATCTCATGCAAAATTGTCTGGATTTAATGAGAAAGAAACCGAAGAGATCATGAAAAAATTCGGTAAAAAGCAATAGAGTTATAAAATTTGTTATTAATATTAAATATTCAATTTATTTCTTAATTTTTATTTGCTTATTACTATCGATCAATTTACTTATCAACAGTCTGAACGAATACAGCTTATGATATAAAAATGGCTACAATACGAATAAAAATTTTCATCAAAATCAAGACAAATTGCTAAAATATCATTTGAAAGATGAATACTTACGTATAATATTGTATACTATATATGTTATTCTCATAAAATCTTTCATAAAAAATGATTGATCCAGAGTTTCAAGAGCTGTATTATTGGGATTTTGAAGATCAAGGAGATAAAGTTAAAGTTTCGTTCAATTGCGATATTACAATCAAGCGCGATAGCTTCAAGCTCAATTTTGATCCAGAAAAAAATACACTTTCATTAACATTTATGGATAAGATCCCAATCATCTTGGGTACATTATTTGGAAAGGCAAAAAGCGTCAATAATATCCCATCACTTAATCAATATATTCTCGAAATCGAAAAAGAGGAAAATATCAAGTGGCCAATCCTCATAATCAAGCCAGTTCCAGAAACAAACGAAATAGATCCGCACTCAGCTTTTGAATTAGTTTACTTAGTTACTTCTGATCAAAATTATCAAAATGAAGAATTGAAATTAGGAGAACTTTTAAAGTTTTCCGCTGGTGCTGGATATCTTCCAGCTATACAAGGCGCTATACAAACATTTATTCATGAACCTGGAAAGCGCGATGTTGCAATTGAATATATGCAAGTTGCTGCTGATGTTTATCAAAATCCAACATCGATTTTTGAATTAGGAATCTATTTATTCGAATCTGATACTGATCGCGAGAAAGCTGTTGTTTATTTACATAGAGCTTATGATATTGGTCAGACAATTGCTGCAATTTACTTAGGATTGGCATATTCTCCACTCTCAGAGTATTCCTTCCAGAATAAGGATGCTACAATGGCTTTCAAATACTTTTCAGAAGTTTTGGACGCTGGATCTCCTGTTGTTTATCATGAAATAGCCAAATTATACGCATCTGGTCAAGGAGTCCCTCAAGACAAGGAAAAGGCTGATCAATACCAGAAAAATGCCAAAGAATTAGATCCAGCCATTTCAGACTTACCTGAATTTGAAACTAAGTCAGAAGATAAGAATGATGATTCAAGTCCTTCATTGATTGATGTAGGAATTGCAGCTGCAGCAACTGTGACAGGAGCAGCAGCATTATTTTATCTTGCTTATAAGTTTATCAAAAAATAAATATATGTTATAAAGATATTATTATAAAAAACTTGTATTAACACTGAGAATAAAAGCTTTTCATTTCATATACTTGTACTGGATTGTTTCTTGCCCACACTTTTTATAGCAAACAAGTGACATTGCTTTTAAATTTTACCGAATACAAATCAATGCATTGTATTTAAGCATAACTAATAAAAGAGTAATAACATTTAAAAAAAACATGAATTTGGTCTAAGAAATATTCATGTGAAACAATTTAATGATAAAAAAATTAGAAAAATTAGATGCATCTCCCATCCAGAGTGTATTTAGCATGATTGCCCGACCTAATTACTTTTCAAGTTTTAAAACAATTTTAATTTTATAAACTAATTTTTTAAATAACAGTTGGATACAAGGAAAGAATTAATTTCTTTGGATCAAATTTCAATTTTTCAAACTGTTTTTTGTCTAATGTTTCTTCATGCAAATTTATGCATTCTGTATGTGATATGATGTTAATATTTAATAATATCTTTCCATTTTGAGGCAATGAGTTCTCATTTTGTATTAATCTCTTTTTTTATTTCATTAAGTTTCTGTTTTTGATTTAAATCATTTACTGAATAATAAACTATCGGTTTTCCACAAAATGTAGATCCTGAATAAAAGATTGGTACAATGACTGACTCTGCATATAGCGATATCATTTTACATATCGAACCTTCAATATGATGGTCATTTTTTTCTGAGCCAATATAGTAGTATCTTTCAGCTTTTAGTGCCTCAATAAATGTTGTATTATCTCCGAATCTTATTGCTTTCAAGGTCTTATATCCTGAATGTCCACTCTGTGGATAAATCATGCAATCATTTCCAAACTCCACAATTTCAACATTTTTATGGTTTTCTAAAATTGATTCCCCAAAATAACTATTAGATGGTACTTTAAGAGTTGTAATCTGACTTCCCAATAAAAATGAATCCCCATAATATGTTATTGTTCCAGTAATTTCCATAGTTTCAAGTGAAGAAGAATAAGAAAATAAATAATTTGGAATTGCTTTTATCTGAGCTCCAAATTTTACAGATTTCAAATTGCTGCAGTGGGATAAACAATAATCACCTCTAGAAATTAAACTATCGGGAAGAATAATAGATGTTATGTCTAATCCAGAAAAATTATTATCTCCAATTTTTTTGAATCCCTCTTCAATAATAACAGATTTGATATCATATAAAAAAAAAAAAAAAAAAAAGGTAGTGGGGCTTCCAGGCACTTCGTGCCCTCTAGCCCCAGTCACTTTTTCTGTCACTTTTCAGGGAAAAAACATTTTTATTAAATATAAAATGAATTTTACAAAACCACCGTTACCCTTCTTTGGAAATAAGAGTAGATGTAAAGATATTCTATTGAGAGAACTTAAGAAACTACCGAATGGTCTAACATTTGTAGACTTGTTCGGTGGAAGTTTCTATATATCTCATTTGTGCCATACTGTATTTCCTGACTCAAAGATTATATGCAATGACTTCGACAAATAATGAACCGTCTCAAACATATACCAGACACAAACAAAATATTGAGTGAGTTGAAAGAAAAGATACCTATAGGCAAGATGGAACGTATACCATTAGATAAGAAAAATACTGTCAGAGAGGTTTTGAAAAAAGCAGAGTATATTGACTGGGATAGTATATCTTCTAGACTATTATATAGTGGTGCTATAAGAGTTCATGACATTGAAACACTTATGTCAAAAGTTTTATATCTTAACTATACAAAGGTTTTCAAAAAGAACATAGAAAAATATACTGAGGGTATAGAGTTTGTGAGATGTCATTGGACAGAGTTGTATGAAAAATATAAAAACAAGGAAAATGTTTTCTTTATAGTGGACCCGCCGTTCTATAACACATGGGATTTTCAATACCAAGTAGACTGGACTTTGAGAGACTCTTTAGAAACTTTAGACGTTTTACATAACCATCCATGCTTTTACTTTACATCCGATAAAAGTGGTTTGGAAAGTGTCATGAGATGGTTAGAGGACATACATGACTATGATTTTAGATACGATAAGATAGAATATGAGAGAGGTCCTATAAACTGGAGAAAGTGTCACAACAAAGAAATTTTATTGGTAAGTAAATGTGGTTTGAAATAGGACTACTTGTTTTAGGTTTTTCCATTGTGTCATTTACTTATTTGACGTGGCAGAAAGATATAGAGAATATGAAGATGAACCAATACCAGCAAATGTTCAGCATATGTACTCGTAAGAGATATTTTTATCTAATATTAAAATGGACGCACAGAACTTAGCGAATGCACAGCAACCTGGACAACCAAACCCAGAGAATATTCCAAATGAAGTTAGAATACAAACTGCAATGGCAAACTATGGTCAAGTGCCAACAGATGTACAAATGCAAACTGCCATGTCAAATGACGCTGCGTTAGGTTTGCCACCATGGTATGCAAATATGAGATGGAAAGAGTTTTATACAAACCCTGAAGTGGGATATAAACAACTCTATGCAGATGACGCGAACACAGGAGTTGACCCAGAGTATGTTTTCTACCAGAGGAGAAATAGAATGTATGAGCTCCAGTTAAAAAATGCTATGGAACTCAGAAGGAAACGTAAGAGACTAGGCGGACATTAGATTTTTACATATAGTAAAATGGGTTTCTTTGGAAGAATAGGAAACTTCTTTCGAAATGTTGGAAGAGGTATATGGAATGGAATAAAATCTGTCGGAAGAGGAATTTGGAACGGAGTCAAAAATATTGGTAAAAGAGTAGGTCAGTTCGTTGGTATTATACCTAAAGACCCTGAACCAGAAGAACAAGCTCCTGTTATACAACAGCCTGAACCTGCACCACAGTCTAGTTGGCAACCAAATCCAACACCTCAACCGTATTAAAAGATTATATTTTTACCGTTCGATAGTAGTTGTATATGAGACTAAGTTCTAAGTAAAACGCATGGTATAATGGAACTATTCTCTTTCTTCCATCTGTAGTAAACCATACTTGAAAGTCTGAAATACTTCCACTCGGTGGTTCATATAGCTTTGTAGGTTTTTCGTAAAAGTCATTTGCCAAGCATAAAAAAGAGTTTTGTGCGCCAGAAAATGAAGCATGAACTATAATAGCATCTGAGTCGAAAACATTTTCATATGTTCCATTAGGGTTTTCGACTTCATAAAAGTCCGGGTGTACTGGATATTCTGCAGGCTGATTTAACATCCTCAAAAATCTATACCATGCCAAGTTGTTATATTTTGTAGAAATATAAACGTTGTCTCCAAGGTCTTCTATTCTATTGAATTTAACAGTTGCATTTTTCCTGTCATATAAAATATCGAGATGGTACTCTCCTTCGTCAATGTTGTACTGTTTTGCATATTCGAGATAGATATCGTTTATTTTTTCTTGAAAAGCTTGAAGAGTTGTTTCTAAGTTTACAAGCAAACTAACTTGTAAAAGTTTTCCCTGTTCAAATTTCTCATACGTACGTTTTTCTTTGTTATAGTATCGAATTTCAAAAGCGACCGTAAATGGGAAACCATGTATGGCTTCTGAAATGAACTTCATTCTACGAAAGCCAATAGCTTTTGTGACGGATGGGTCTCTTAACCATCTTAAGGGGTAGTCAACACGATAGCCTTCATGCTTTACGGTCTCTGTCTCAAACTTTTGACCGACATTCGTAAAAAGTTCATCTAATGGTTTAGTTGTAGCAACTCTTGAATTTTCTTTTTCTATTGAAAGCATATTTTATCTAGAATAAAAATGTCGAAAGAAACAGCGTCTATGAGAGAAATACAACACAACCGACAACTCATTTTGCAAGCTCTAAATAAGAACACAACAAACTTTTCAAACTATTCTAAGATATCTGAGTCATTGAAAGAAGGAAACTTAAAACTGACATTAAACCCAATGACAGATGAGTTTCTATTTCAAGACAACAAGAACCATACTGTTTGTATAAATCCAACAAAAAGAACTTTAAACGAGAAACCTATAGATGAACTTCTTTTGAAAGCAGATATTGACAACAAAGCTGACAAAGAGTATGTTGACGATGAGTTAGCACGTGTGGCTAGTGCATTAGATAAGAAGGCAGATAAGGAATATGTGGATGAAAAAGACAATGAAATTATAGAAAGGGTTGAATGGTACCATGAACGGACATCGAAGATTTTAAAAGGTAAAGCTGATACAGGATGGGTTTCAGGATGTTTAGACCTTAAAGCCGATAAGAACCATACACATACCATTGCAAATATTACAAACTTACAAGAAACCTTAAACAGTAAAAGTGACGTTGGACATACACATACCATTGCAAATATTACAAACTTACAAGAAACCTTAAACAGTAAAAGTGACGTTGGACATACACATAACTTCTTCTCAACTGTTGGTATAGAAAGTATTTTAGGAACGATTGAAAAAACTGGTGGGGGTGGATTATATTTTAAACCTCCTAACTTTCCAGAAGGTTTAACATCGGATAAAGACATTAAATGTAGAAATGTCTATGTCATGGAGGATGAAAAAAAAGTTAAATTCACTGCTCAAGATTTATATGATAAAAAAGCTGACAAAACAGAGCTTCAAACGTTAAAGACAGAAATACTTCAAACACTATATCCTATAGGTTCTATTTACACGTCAATGAACTCTACCAGACCAGAAGTAGTACTTGGTTTTGGAACTTGGACTCAAATAGTCGACAGGTTTTTGTATTGTGCAAACTCTTCAAAGGAAACAGGTGGAAGTAAAACGATTTCAGGTGCAAATTTACCTGCGCACAGTCACTACATAGATTTAAGTACAACTAACGCAGGTTGGCATAGTCATAGATATTGGGATTGGTCATCAATGACAAAAGGTAAAGGATATGATGTTAAAAACAACGTTAAGTTTGCTATAGATTGTTACTGGAGTAACACTGAGGGAGGAGGAAACCATATACATCGCGTTTCAGGGTATACGCAAACAACGGGACAGAGTAAAGACTACATGCCACCTTACATGACAGTTTACGCATGGTATAGAAATGCTTAGTCGTCATTTTCAACTTCTTTAGCATATTCGTCAGGAGTTGTCTTATATTTGTTAGGAACTGTCTTTGAAAGTATACCACCTTGAACTTTGACAAGTTTGAAACGAGGTCTGACAATAGTAGTTTTATCTTCTGCTTGCAGTCTGTACATTTTGCCATGTTTGCCTAAAACTTCATAATATTCTCTTGTATACTTTCTTCTATTTTTACGAACACGAATGCGAGTACCTGTCGAGTTCCCATTGTTGTCATAGTCAATAGTATTTTCATATGGGTCGCGTTTAGGTATTTCTATTTTTACTTTGTCACCTTTCTGAAGTTTGAAGCCTGGCATTCTTTCTTGTTTGTCTCTTTTGACTAAACTATTAAATATATAGTCTTTCTCTAAGTCAGGGTTGTTTTTCATTTCTTCAGGGGAGTGGTTTCCCAAACCTTTTTGTTTACGGGTATTGTAAATATTTAAAACTTGTCTCATCTTTGCCATGGAGAAGTGTCTATATTTGTCGTCATATGACATTTCATCTACCTCACCACCTTGTGGTTGGTTTAAGTCTCTTAAGATTTTTATACAACTGTCAATGACACCAAGAGCAGAATGGTTTTGGTCGACAATGAAATATTGGTTTACATTTTTTGAACGCAGATAGTTTTTAATATCGTCTGATTTGAAAGAACTTTCACAGTCAGATGTCAGTTTTGTTGGATGGTATTTGTCAACGAATATTGTCAAAGCTGCTAAGATATCTAAAATATTTTTGGACTGTAATGGTATGGCTTCACAGTATCTTGTGTTTTGACCGACAAATATTAGCCAGTATGGTGGTCCATCTTCTCTATACCTCGGAATGTTTTCCAAGATATCCATAAACCAAGCATTTGGTGTTGAACTAAAGATTTTTACCATGAGTGCTTTCTTTGTTGCCTTAGAAACATACGGGTCCTTGTTTGAATTCGTCATTTTTAACCCATAAGAAATGGGTTTATTTGGCGCATTAGCAGGAGTCGCATCTAGATTTTTGCCCGCAGTGGGAACACTAGCCAGAGGTGCATTTGGAATTGGAAGGAAGATTTTGAGTACATTAGGTATACTTAAAGAGAAAGCACAACCTATTATACAAACTGTACAGAAAGGTTGGGAGGTAGCACGAGATGCAGCAAATCTTATTCCAAATCCTGAAACAAGAGGAAAAGTTCAAGGATGGATGGACAATGTAGGAAGACAAGCAGGAAACTACTATAACAAAGCAAATGACTACTATAACCAAGCAGGACACTACATGGACCAAGGTGAAAGATTCTTTAACAGAGGATATAACCATGCACAACAGTGGGTAAACAACAACCAACCGCAACCGCCTCAAACGTGGGGAATGTAAATTTTTTTACTGAGATGAAATGAACAATACAGCTTTGAGACAAATGGGCTCAAGATGGATTTGTCGGCTTCCAGCAGTTACACAACCACGTGTTTGTCAAGTTCTTCCTATACCTCAGGAAGTTTTAGACCGACTTAAAAAACCTAAACAACCAGTTGAAAACAAAACAAACTAAAATTTTTTACTGAGATGAAATGACCGAAGAAGTTGAAACGGTAGATTTGACACCACAAACAAAAAGTTCAGAACCATTGTCAAAACCTGTCAAAGAACTTACAGATGAAGAGAAAAATTCAATAATAGAAAGTGCTAGGTCTGGAAATACAAACTCTAACTACAAAGTCACTTTTCATAAAAATGGAACGGCTAGTATCTCAAAAAAGAAACAGACTCTCACAAATAAAATATTGAAGTCTGAAGGAGCTTTCGAGACAACAGATGGAAAAGTTTACTTCACTGACCAACAGTTCATTATAGAACATCTCATTGACTTAGAGTCGAAATATTCTAAACTTTACAACAAACACAAAAAGTTGAAAGGAAAACAGAAACAGATGGCATATGACATTTATGAAGATGTTGACGACACAACTGTTCCAGCAAGTGAGGTAAAGTCAGATGAACCGAAAAGTGACGAAAAACCAATAGAAGAAGATAAACCAAAAACTGAAGATAAACCAAAACCAAAGGTTAGTTTTCAAACTAAACCAAGTCAACCTTCATTAGCTGGTATGGGTTGGCGTCAAAGACTTTTGGCAGCAGGTGGTTACGTAAAGTAAAAAAAAACATTTTTTTATTTTTATAAAAAATGCCCCCGTATAGAATGGATAGAAGGTCTGCTAGAATAAAAGCAGAGTTAGAAAGATATGGTTGGAAAGTTTCAAAGAAGTTTAAATATAGGAAGGGAAGACCCATAAAAGTCTATGACAAACTGGCTGGTCTGACCTATGAGATGGATTTGAAAACAGCACGCACAAATTATCCAAACAGACTAGAGAGGTTAGAAGAAGAGCGTCTTATGGACATGCCTTTCAATGTTAATGAACCGCAAGTTGAAGGACACGACGGCTTTGCCAGATTCTACTGGAAACATGACGAACAATTGCATCCTTTGAGAAGGAAAAAAGGAAAAGGTGAAGACGCACATGCTCCAATGGAAAGAACAAGATATGCATATGAAAAGTATCGTGAGGTTAGAAGTAAAATTACATCTGGTCGAACCTTTACAGTAAACTTTGACGATGGAAAGAACAAAGAAGGCTTCATGGGTGTACTTGCTGCAATTCAAGACGGAAATAAGAAAGGATACAATCTCAGACTAACCGTAACAGATTTAGATGGTCATATATACTATGCACATGGCAATGTCACAACAGCCACACAACTTCTTGACGCTTTCAAGACTACAAAGAGAGAACAAATGTTTGACTCCGACTCAGATATTTTGAACGCAATTGAAGGAATTGCAAGCGTGAAGTTCGAATGGTATCAACCCAACCCTCAAGCAGTCAGACAACATGCTGGATACTTCCCCTTCAGAAATAAGTCTGACATTGACTTGACAAGGTATGGAATTTACAATTCAATTGAAACAATTGTCAATGAACCTTGTATTCTTACATGTCTCAGGAACTCTGGTCTTGTTACAGATGAGAAGATGAAGTATCTTGAGTCATGTGTGAAGACAAGGTACATTCTCAGAGGTCAATTGACAAAAATTGCACCGTTGGCAAATGTGAATATCCGAGTCAACATACCGACTGAGAAAGGTTCTTCACATGACGACTATGTTGTTGACTTCAAATTGCCATGGTTGAAGATTGTACTTGTCCACAACCACTTCATGTTGAACGAAAGTCTTACAAACCCATTGTTCGGAAAAGGTAAGTGCAACATTGTCAGAGCTGTTAACATTCTTTTCGAGAAAGGGTTGTTGGAACCAATTCCAGATGACAAGCTGACAGAAACTTTTGTACCAAAAGATGAAACAAACTTTTCATTGTTGGTAAGACCAAAAGTTGTTCCGGACAAAGTTATAGCACAAAAGAAGTACACAGCTCCAAAAGGAGTTGGATTGTTCGGATACCAACCTGAACCAGAAGAACTTCCAATGAGGTTGCAAGAACTTCAAGATGCTATAAACAAACTTCCATTGAGACATCCAATCGACGTCAAATTGTATTGGAGAGCATCAGAGTTAGGTCAGAAGGTTTTATATGAAACAGGTTGCTTCGACGATGTTTATGAGATAACAGGCGAGGTTTCTCAAAAGATAAGAGACTCACTTGAATTTCCACGAACTGGGCCGATTGGATGCGATAAGTTCGACTCATACGAAAAAATATACTATGTCGACCTTAACGCTGCGTACATGAGGTTTGTCCAATATATTCCGACTGGAATTCCAAACGAAGATGGTAAGTTCCCGGGAAGGAACTATACAGTTGGAAAGGTCATACAACAACTCTATGATATTAGGAAAGCTTCAAACCCCAAACTTGCAATGACAATCAAATTGCTTATGAATTCGACATGGGGATATTCCATTAAAAAACCTCAAAAGATGAAGAGTAAACACTATGAGAAGGTCGACAACTTTGTTGAAAGGTTCTCCCCTTTTGTTTTGAAATACGAGTTCACCGAAGGTCAAGGTGGCTCAGTAACCACAGTAAAACCTATTGTCGAACATTGGTCTTATCCTCAGTTCGCAAAGGCAGTCCTCGACAACTACAACAAATTCTTCTCAGAGGTTAAATCCAAAGTGAAGGTATACTATGAGAACATCGATGCACTCATGACGAACGAGGAAGGATACAACAAACTCATTGAAATGGGTTTAGTCGGTGAGAAGATGGGCCTTTTTAAGCTAGATAAGGTATTTTCCGAAGTTCATGTAATATCCAAGCGCAAGTACTGGGGTGTACTTGAAGACGGGACAGAAATAAAACATTGTATGAAATAAAACATTGCATGAAATAGTAAAACATTTTTTAAAACATTTTTTCAAAAAAACATTTTTTTATTTTATTTGAAATGTACGCTGAGTTTGTCGGAACAGACCGTTGGGAAACTTGTTTGTTAGATGAGAAATATGAAATTCACTGTTGTGAGTCATTTGAAGTCAGAAACAAAAAGACAAAAAGAGTTTTAAGCGGATGGGAGGGGAATAAAGGATATGCTATTATGAGGATGGGTGGAAAAAACTATTTTAAACATGTTGTCATTGCAACTCATTTTATACCGAATCCTAACAATTTACCTTTTGTAGACCATATAAACCATATAAGAAACGACAATAGACTTGAAAACTTACGTTGGGTCACTTGTTCTGAAAACAGTAAGAACAAAAGCAAAATTGGAGATATAGTATTCGAATTTGTCGACGAACTAGAAGATGAAGCAATTGAAATTACAGACTATGGTAAGCATACGCTTGAGTTTTACTACTATAGCGAAGAACAAAACTCTTTCTACTTTTATACCGGCGTAAACTATAGAAAATTACAAGTATATTTTACTAAGGAAGGCTATGCTTATGTAAACACTAGAGATACAGATGGAAAATGCGTTCATATACTTCTTAACAAATTCAAGAAGCTATATGGCATACCATTTTAAAACGTTTTTAAAACAGTATATTTTTACATATATAAAATGCTTCAGGTTGAAAAACAAAGAACAAAAGTAGCAGATACAAAACCGTTAGACTATATCTTTACAAACGCTGGTAGGACTATATCAGATGAAGAAATTTTATCCGGAGCTTATCGGTTTAACTATCCAATTCGCTGGCTTCAAAGTCCTTCAGATGCAAAGGCAATAGGATTTAGAAGAGTTTTGTTTTCAAATAGAACTAACGCATTCATGTTTGCAGTATATTTTCACGGTCAGTATAAAGGTTCTGATGGTCTAATAGAAAAATTTGATGAAATGAAAATCTTTACAATTCGTTCAGACGAAAGTCTTGAAAAAACTCTAAATGACTTTCAAACTCAAATAAACAAATACTACTGGGAATTTCAAGAAAAATACCACTCTTTACTAAATGGAACATACTATCTAAAACTAGAATACGATAAGATGAACTCCACCGTTTCATTTCAAAGGATTGAAAATAACCCTCCAAGAGATACAGAGTTTTTATATTGGGGAGTAGACAAACGTTCTTGGGCACAATTTCTTCGGTTACTAAACCAGAACGAACCATTGCCACCTGACGGTCCTTTTAAATTTATACTCCCACCAGCAGATTTGACAGTTTATAGAAACGTGTTCGACCCTCAAAATGTCATGTGTCATGCAAGTTTCAGTTCAAGCAACAACAGTTTTCTTTGTATCGGTAAGGACTTCTATGACTTTGCTTCTAAATTCTACGAACCACCTAGTAACAGTTTCTCTGACTTTCAAGTCTGGTTCACAACAAACGGTGTGCAGCATATAATTCCATTGTACTACGACTTTTATCTCGAATTGTCTTTCATATACAACTACGGAAAAGTGCTGAAAAAGTATTGAAAAATATATTTTAGGTGAAGTGGTGAGATCTCACCTGTTTTCTCACCTGTTTTTTCACCCTCTTGAATTTTCATGAATTTCCTTAAGATAGAAAAAAAGTGAGTTAAAATGAGATTTTTACTGAACTGGTTGGATGTCGCCTTCACAGGTTATGTAGAACGGCAGACCAGAGAAGTGGAATAGTGCTCTGAGAATTTGTATAATTCGTGGAATTGGACTCTCTCTGTTTGGAAGTTGTATCCATGGGCGCTTTGCAAAGAACTTGAGAAGAGCTTCTTTCTTCATCTCCTTTATGTCGTCTACAGGAGTGTTTTCTGGTATTTGAATTGGAATTCCAGTCGAAATCTCGATTTTCAGCGCACCTCTTCCAGACAACCAGCAGCCGAGGGACTTGTTGGCTTTGTCCTTGCCCAAGTACTGCTTAACAACTTCATTTATCTCTATAAGGTAAATTGCCTCATCTAATGGCTCGATGCTGTCCATTGTTCTGTTTCAGAACTAGTCTTGTTCTGTTTCAGAACTAGTCTTGTACTTTTTCAGAACTAGTCTTGTTCTGTTTCAGAACTAGTCTTGTACTTTTTCAGAACTAGTCTTGTACTTTTTCAGAACAAATTTCCCGTAAAAGCTCTCAATTTGAGAGAAAAATTTTCTGTTTCAGAACAATATTTGTTCTGTTTCAGAACAATATTTGTACTGTTTCAGAACAAGTCTTGTACTGTTTCAAGACAATATTTGTACTGTTTCAAGACAATATTTGTACTGTTTCAAGACAATGTCCGACGGTTAAGCCACAAACGAATGTCCGACGGTTAAGCCACAAACGAATGTCCGACGTCCCACCAAAAAATATTTTTTATTTTTATTGTAAGAACTGAAATGACAGTCGAAGCAAAAACGTTCACGAACAAATCTAATGGCGAAACATTCACAAAAGGCACTTACAACGGTATTGAAGTCTTACGTAGAGACAAGGATGGTTATATAAATGCAACAAAGATATGTCAGCAGTTTAGGAAAGACTTTAGAAGGTTGTTGGAAAATAAGTCCTGGGAAGAGTATTTTAAGGCATTTTGTGAAGAATATACCAACCCGCGGAATTCCGCGGGTTGCTTTTTATACAATGTTAATGCAGAAATTCCGGATGAAATCAAACAGGTTAGAGGAATGTATGTAGACCCAAGACTTACAAACTATATAGCAATGTGGGCTTCTCCAAAATATTGCATAGCAGTTGGAAAAATTCTGGACTCCATAGACAAGAAAGTTCATGAGAAATTAGATGAAGAAGAACTTGAAGATACAGTAGAGAATGCTAAACCTTTGTTCGAAGAAGAAGTTAGAAAAATGCATGAAAAACAAATAGAACATGAACGTGAGATATGTTCTGGTTATAGAGACTCTCCATACGAACTAGACCAATGGGAACAAGAAGATTTAAAGAGAGAATTTAGAGAATATGAACTCGCTAAGATAGCATTAGAAGCTGCAGAAAAGAAGTTAAAAGTTTGGGGTCGTTTTGTACAAAAATATTGTGAGTAAATGAACCATTTCTTTTTATTGAATTCGGCAAAAATATATTTTAGGTGAAGTGGTGAGATCTCAGAACTAGTCTTGTACTGTTTTTTCACCCGTTGAATTTTGTATAAAAAGCAACCGCCGGAATTCCGGCGGTTGGTATATTCTTCACAAAATGCTTGTTTTGAGGTCGAGCCACTTTTGGCTCCACCGTATTTTTCAACCAAAACTCGTTCATTTTGTTGTTCCCGGACCAAAAAATATATTTTAGGTGAAGTGGTGAGATCTCACCTGTTTTCTCACCTCTTTTCTCACCCGTTGAATTTTCATGAATTTCCTTAAGATAAAAAATATATTTTAGTTTTTTTTTAAAAAAAAATATTTTTTTATTTTTATTGTAAGAACATGTTAGCAACAACTTCACCAAACTCGTTAGTCATGAACCCAACTTCAATGTTAGTAGAGATGAAAAGCTTCATTCCTTCTTCATATACTTTCGAAACAGAAATCCAGAAGATAAAGCAGGAACTTCTCCAAGGAGATTTAGACTGTAGTGCGAAAGATGAAACAAATGAAGAATATCTTTATGAAATGCAGGATATTATTGACCATCTACCTAAACTTCCTGAAATACAACAACAAAAGCTTACTATTCCAGAATTCGATGAAATAGAAGTCAAAGCAACTGACTCAGTAGAAATAAAGAAGTTCATACGTAAGGTTAACTATGAGTTTCTTGGATTTCATTGCAACCACAAAGTTATGGACAAAGATTGCGACATGTTATATAAGAACATCTCTGACATATATAAATCTGAAGAATTTAAGACCTACGACAACTTTGTTTCGTTAGTTGCAAAATGTGTATGGCAGATAAGAGATAAAGATAGAAGAGGTAAAGTATGGAATGAACAGATAAAACCCGCAACTTTTGAGTTAAAGAAAACCATTGACGCCTTAGTTGTTTTAGCAGGTAAGGTTTCAGAATATAACGCAAAAATGAACCCACAATGTTCAAAATGTAAAGCAGCAATGAGGAAATATAACTACTCCGTCAAAGAGATAGAACGTATGCGAAACGACTATGCTGACTTAAAGAAAGAAGCAGAGAAACCAGCAGAAGATAAAATGGACATGTTGACATTTCTGAACAAAAACTATCCAACTGCTGACGATTTCCTTCTTTCAGATGTCAAGAAGAAATATAAAGAAACCTTCGGCATTGTTAAAACATTCGATATCCTCAGCGAAGAAATAGAAGCTACGAAACTGTTTAGGATTTAAAATATACATCGTACAATTCATGTAAGACGCTTGTGAAAAAGAGGTGAGAAAAGAGGTGAGAAAACAGGTGAGATCTCACCTCTTCACCTAAAATATATTTTTATTGAATTCTGAGTAAAATGACATATGGAACACGTACTTTTTCAGTAAGGACATATGGGGTGAGAAAAGAGGTGAGAAAACGGGTGAGATCTCACCTCTTCACCTAAAATATATTTTTGTCTGATTTACGCTCATTGACGATGAAATCATGACAAAACATTGACGAAGAAGTTTATTTCCTGTGTTGTTGTCAAAATGTCATGTTGTCACCGTTTTCAAAAAGATGTTAGTTGACCGAGTGACCGAGTGACCTGGTGACACCTAAAATATATTTTTGCTGAAAAAAATGACCAAATTTCATGATATAACTGTATTTTTTTGACGAAGAGAACTTTTACACTTCGTAAAAAAAATCCCTGAAATCGTGAAAAAATGACCAAATTTCATGAATTTCCTCATATGTTTGCTACCCGCGGAAAACCGCGGGTAGAGATTCCGTACGAAAATCGTAAAAAATTGCGACCCCGACTTTTACAGGGGTCGCCAAAACTCTATGAAAATCGTAAAAAATTGCGAGTACGTAAGAAATCTTACTCGCCTAAAACT